TGTGCTGTGTATTGCGTCTGGCGAGCATATGCCACCGGCGGAGGATGCGAAGAAGCTCGATTTTGGCAATTTGGTTAAGATTCAGCGGAGGCTCGTTTCTTTGGCTGCGTAGACGATGGGGATGCATGCTTGCGAGGGTCCTGGTCCTCCTTATGGTTGCAGTTCACGTGCTACTCTAGGTGTGTAAGTGTGTTTACGAGGGAATAGATGAGAACGTACGTATCAATGCCATTGTAGGAGTTTTTAGGAACGATGAGGAGCTAGACTTAAACCCTACCTATCAAAGGAGTAGGTAAAAAGGGAGGATGGTAAGGAATAAATGGATTTAGAGAAATGATTGTTACTGTTGTCTGAAGGGAAGGACTAAATACCTTGATACCAATACATTGTTTACTTACTATACAAGGCCTCTTGCACTACATGCAGTTCCAACTCGTCGTTATACCTCATATACCCTACGTTAGCAACAGAAGAAGTGATAAAATAAAAGCGAATTACTACGTCTTAAATGCCGTTACGGAGGAGTCAAATTATATGCGATTAATATTATATCAGGTAGGTAGGTAGGTACATTAGGTACTGGGGGTATCTAAGTATGCAGATACTACATATATCACTTGCTCGCTCTATACAAGCTGCCCCCTTCATATCTTCTTCATTTCTCATCTTTCTTCCCTCTTCATGACCATCTCTGCCCCACATTACATATTCCTCAGAATATCCAACAGACCCTTCATCTTGCCCCCGAGCGTAAGCGCATACCCAACACCCACAACGCCCTTCGCGAATCTCCATCCGCGCTCCTGGCTCCCGACGGGATACTGCACAGGCGGCGGGATAGAAGTCCTAATTCCCAAAAACGCGAACCGGTCCTCACATATGCTCTTCAGGTTACATAGGCCCCGTAACCCCTCTTCGGCCGCGAAGCGTCCGTATCCCGAACCGCCGACGCCGCCGAATGGTAGTTGTACAGCGTAGAATACCGCAAAGTCGTTGACGGCTACGCCGCCTGCACGCACGCCGTGGACGACTTCTTTCAAGATTGGGTCTGAATCACGCCCGTAGACCGAAGCGCCGAGGCCGAAGTCGGGAGCGTTGGCTAGACGTAAGAGTTCCGCGGCGCTAGCCGAGGGGGACCGAAGGATTGTCATGATCGGCCCGAAACACTCTTCGTTCGCGATCGCCATGTCGGGTGTTACGTCGACCAGGAGCGTCGGTTGGAAGTAGAAACCCTTAGGGTGGTCGGGATGTATGTATCGGGTACCGCCGGCGAGGAGTCGCGCACCATTGGCAACGGCATCCTTAACTAAATTCTCGAGTCGTGTGAATGAGGCGTCTGATACCATGGCACCGACATCTTTGTCCAGTCCGAGACGTAGAGCTTTGACGCGGGGTTCGAGCATAGCTACAAGTTTGTCGTAGACACCAGGTGCGGCAATAATTCGCTCGATACCGATGCAGTTCTGTCCCGAAGCCTGGAAAGTTCCACGGAGTAGAGTCTCTACAATCCGCTTAAGGTCGGATTCCGCCGAGTCGAGTATAATAGCAGCATCTTTACCACCAAGCTCTGCGACTAAGGGGATGAGGCTCTTGGCCGCACTGGAGGCAACATGGTGGCATACGGGCCGGCTACCGATGAAAGTAAGATGACTGATGCCAGGATGACTCGTTAAATGTCCAGCAGTTTGAGGCCAGCAGACGACGGTCTGTATTAGCTGGGGATCATGTCCGTGTGCTACCAACGCGCCCCTTGCAATGCTCGTGTAATACGCAGCACTCCAGCACGTCTGCTCGCTAACTTTCACCACAATACCGTTTCCAGCAAAGATGGCACTGATCATAGGACCTATCATATTATGAAAGGGGTAATTCCAGCTGACCAGAGCCGCCACGACACCTAAGGGTTCATATTGAACCGTATTCTTCTTATACGCCATGAGAAGATTCGTAGGACGCCGGCTCGGACGTAGGGCCTTCTCGCCGTGCTTAATAGTCCATTCCAGTTTCTCAGCCGTAACCATAATCTCGCCTAGCTGGGCATCCAGCATAGTTTTCCCCGAATCCAGAGAGCTCACTTGGCATATCTGCTCCTGATTGTCAAGTACATATTGCAACATGGTACGCAACACCTTCCTCCGCTCACTAAACGTGGTTTTGGCCCATTGCTTCTGTGCCGCTGCTGACTGGGCAATAGCACGATCGATGCCGTCGGGCGTGGAGGGGTTGACCAAGCCGAGGAATTGGCCTGTGGCTGGGGCGTAACATTGTATGGCAGTTGTACCTGAGACCTTGATGGTAGGATTGTCGAGGATCTTGAGCTCGTCGGGTTTCTTGGGAGCCGGAACGGTGTATCGCTTCGGTTTATCCCAGTAATCGGTATGGGTGTTGTAGAGTATTAGACCACCAACGACGGCGAATACGACGGGGAACGCGGCGAAGGCGAAGTCTTTGATCCTGTATATGAATCGTTATAAGATAGCCGCGCAGAAGGGGTATTATTGGTATTATTTGTATTATTCAAGACGTAGAGACGTACGGAAATCCTCGTATGAGAATGCTGAATTCATCGACCCATTGAACGAGGTCTTTGGTGGCCATTTTTTATATATCCTGCCCTGCCCTTTCTAGTTGTGTGAATATTCCGTATATCATCGCATAGTTAATTCGCAACCTAACCGAGGAGCTTTTGACATGATCTTCTCGAGGGAGGTTGTTCAATTGCAGGATTCAGTTGCAGGATACAATCGTACCACCCAGCTTCTACGAATTGAAGCTCCATTTTATTATTTGTTATCGATAGCCCCTGGTTCCTGCATTCTATCGCCGATTCTAGGTACAACATACATACAGGGGTAGGAGCTTGTCGAATATAGGTACCTAGGTACCTATTAAGTCAGATACGTATCTTTGTAGATATATCTTATCGATATTAGATACGTCCCTCATGTCACATGATAACTGTATAACCCCACGTTAGTGAGGTAACTCTCATTGAGTCATCCCTCCTCAATCGCTCTTTTTTTTCGGGCTATACGACGCGGGGCACACCAAGCAATGCTGCGTGCGCTCTACAGAGGGAACAGGCTAATACTTCCAACTTCTCTCAGAGCACCATTATTTACCACCAGAACATTCTTTACATCTTCAAGTCTGTCGTGTCAATCGCCTGTCCACCAACATCTCCCCTCTGCCGAAACTGGCGACATGGCTTCTAAAGAGGCCAAGATATCCTTGAAGGCGCCCAAGGGTACACGCGACTGGTCGGGCGCAGACCTTCTCCTACGAGATCACGTCTTGTACGTTTCGCTCGCCACTATTTGCGCCGCCCGTTTGTTAATCTAGCATCTAGCGAGACCATTACCAACATATTCAAACTCCACGGCGGCACTCCCCTCGACACCCCCGTATTCGAATTAAAGGAAATTCTAGCAGGCAAATATGGCGAAGAGGCCCGTCTGATATATAATCTCGAAGATCAAGGCGGCGAGCTGTGCGCCCTACGCTACGATCTGACAGTACCTTTCGCCCGTTGGCTAGCCATGAACAATGTTCAGCAGATCAAGCGCTACCAGATCGCCAAGGTCTACCGTCGCGACCAGCCGGCCATCGCCCGCGGCAGGATGCGCGAGTTCTACCAGTGCGACTTCGACATCGCCGGAGCATACGACCCTATAATTCCCGACGCGGAGATCCTACGTGTCGTCGTCGAAACCTTTAATGCTCTCGGGCTCGACATTACCATCAAGACCAACCACAGACGAATCCTAGACGGTATATTTTCCGTCGCAGGTGTCCCCGCAGACAAAATACGCCCAATTAGCTCGGCGGTAGATAAGTTAGACAAGGAACCGTGGGATGTCGTTAAGAAGGAGATGGTGGAGCAAAAGGGTCTCCCTGAGGAGGTCGCCGACAAAATTGGAGTGTTCGTGCTAAATCGAGGCACTATTGACGAGATGATAGAATTTATTAAGGCCGACCCGAACCTTTTGGCCAACGACGAGATAAAAGGTGGACTTGCCGATATGGATCTCCTATCTTCTTATTCTAAAGTACTAGGCACCTTCGATAATGTCTCCTTTGACTTATCGCTTGCGCGAGGTCTGGACTACTACACAGGACTGATATTCGAGGTCATCCAAAAACCCGCCGAAACAAAAGACAAGGACGGCACACGATACCCGGGGAAGTCATCTAAGAATGCAGATGCTTCCGCCGTAGGTAGTATCGCTGCAGGTGGCCGATACGACAATCTCGTCGGCATGTACGGCAAGAAGCAGATCCCCTGCGTGGGCATTTCATTCGGCGTCGACCGAATCTTCACTATCCTCAAGGCACGGCGCGGTGAGAATGAAGGCCGCTCGCGCCAGGTCGATGTATACGTTATGGCGTTCGGCGGCAAAGAGTTCAACGGTCTGCTACTCGAGCGCATGTCGATTGCGCGACAATTATGGGAAGCCGGCATCCGTGCCGAGTTCAGCGCCAAGGTCAAGCCCCGTCTACCGCAACAGTTCAAGGCCGCCGAGGAGGTGCCTCTCGGCATCATCTTAGGCCAAGACGAGCTTGCAGAGGGCAAGGTACGGTTGAAGGTTTTAGGAACTGGGAAGGGTGGTAAGGAAGGCGAGAAGGATGAGAAAGACCAGGGACAGCTTGTCGAGAGAGAGAATTTAGTCGAGGAGGTGAAGAAGTTATTACAGACTCAGACTCAGACTCTTCCGATACGGTAGATATCCTTACCTTAGGTAGATAAATACGCTCCGCTAGGGCTAGGATTTAGAACAAGAAAAAAATATGTTTAGGAGTTGGTCGGTCTTTGATATACTTGTGATATGAATATGTTGGATCTGAATTCAGGGGTAAAATTCCTGTCTACCTATCTTGATTTGCCATTATAGTCGAAGGGTAATTGTTCAAAAAGGTAAATTAGATGGCTTTGGATTCGAGAAAGTTCCCTAAATTAAGCAGCCTTCATCTCAATCTATCGTTGAGTCAGTGTCTACGGGCAGTTTGGATTAATAGGGGGTAAAACTGTATGCGCTATTAGAAGCTCGGGATTGTAAATTTACTACATTAGCAAGACTTGTTAACAAGCCCATTTAAATTAATACCTAATATATATCTTTACTCCTATCCTTAGGGCCAGCGTACTGTATTTCCGTCCAAACGGGCAAAATGTCCAAAACGCCACGCAAAGGTGCCGTTTATATACAATATAATATTACATTCCAATATACTCTTCTCGTCATTATGGTCGTAAACTGCCTACCTAGTTGAGGCCACTTACATAATTCGTAATACGGATGGAGTCCATGGTTATGGTATGTGAATAAATGAAAGCGAAATCTAATATCTGAGGCTTGAGAATTTCCACAGGCCGTCTTCTGTAATTTGAGAAGCGCTGGTCGTTCTCTATATACGATGTCTCGGTGGTATCTATCAAGATAGTTGTGGAGTATTGATACGTTTAACTCTTTTGTCGGTATACAGAAGAGCTTTCTAAGCGTTCCCCCAGACAGCGCCCCTTTTACGGTGGGGGCGAGGCTTTCGGTTGCGGTACTGGGTCTGGCTCGCTCGGCCGAGTGGTAAGGGGGTTTAGAGCAGGAATATCGTCCATGGTGGAGTCGGTATCAGGATCATGCGATATGACAATCGCAGGAGAGCCCTGGATATTAGTTATAGTAGTAGTAGATGCAACTGGCGAAGGGGTTTGCATCGCCCGCGAAGAATTAGGATGAACCACTGGGACCTCGAGTGTGTCCCGTCGTTGTCTTGGTCTACCTCTAGTTTGCCCAATAGAAGACGATGCCTCTTGAGATTGTATGTCGAACGAGCCCTGGCCAGCTGGTAAGGTATTCGAGTGCTGGACTCTATCTGTCGAAGGTGACTGTGATGATGATCGCGATATAGGCGAGGGTGAGTGTGGAGCTGATATTGCTCGTGTCCTTGCCGGACTACCTTCGATACTGTATCTAGAGGCAATACTGCCGGCGAAGCTACCTGTTCTTGGCCGTATGCTAGAGCTCTCGTCTTCGTTTCGATGATGGTTATAGGCCTCTCTGACTCGAGCTAGGTCTGGGTTTCGCTTATCTTCCGCCGGGATCTCAGGGAAGTCGATTGCTTTCCCATGCTTGAACTCGGAATCATCGAATCGATCCTGTGATGCCGTGCCTAGATAGTTACTAACGACCAGTAGCGTATTGTACACTTTACGCCTGTTGCCTATATCGTTCACAGATGGCCGACTTTCCGTAGGCACAAGTTCGGTTGAAGTTTCTCTTCCGCTATTCGAAGAGCTAGCTCGAATATGGGCTGTACTTGGGGCGATGTAGTGAGGGGAACTAATGAAAAGACCACCGTTGATCTCTTGCATCGATGGAGAATCTCTTGAGTCATGCTCCGGATGGGCAATGTCATCGCAGTGTATGATTTCAATGTCCCCGCTTCGTAGAGAAGAGCTGTCTCTAGGTCTAGTAGGCTGTCCGCCATCGAAGTGATGGCGCGAGCAATTGCAGTGATGAATAGGACCTATCAGGTTCGCATCCTTCCTCACAGCTTCTAAATCTACCGCTAGAAGCATGTAAAGAGATCCTAACGCAGCAAGTCCGGTACCGACAAGGGGTGCCCACTATTAAGAATGCCGTAATTAGCAAAATGTCTCGAATAAAATTGACAAATCTAAGTCGATCTTGAGAGTTGGAAGAAGACGCGAGTGAGTTAAGAGAGCTAGGGATGAAGATAATTCGTTGCTAACCTGTCCTGTAAATATGACTATTAGCATGTTGAACCAGTTACGAATGCCGTTTAATACGTACCTATGCTACCTATTGGTTCAGTCTGGTATGAGACTTCAGGGCTGAAGAAGTTTAATTCGCCGAATATGATGATAGCAACTACTGCAGCGCTGAACAAAGGAACCTCTAGGGTGCTTAAGAAAAGCCTGACGACGTGATTGACTTTACTCATCGTCTCGACGGTGGCGCCATTCGTCCTATTAGTATCGCATGTTGTCAGTACCGGATTTCGTAAAGGGGGAAAACATTTATGGGCAATACAGGTCGACGATGATTACTTATGTCATAAAGTTGTGTACTAACTATAGGGAAAATAAGAGAAACCAGATTATTAAGATCTTCTCACCCTTCAATCAGCTGGTCCCCTTTTGCTGGGCCGAACCTTGACTTCCAGTTAATCTCGAGAATTTTATTCCACATTGACACGAGCGAGAGGACAGCGGGGATACAACAAGCTGCTGCGAGAAGCGTAACGGCATTGAACGCAAGTCTGCTCGGTGCTGGTATGACGTAGATTTCATTCGTGGCCCCTTGCCGTAGGGGAGACGAAGGTCCTTTGTCGATGGAGCAGGTGAGGTTACAAAAAGCATTCTCGTAGGGGAAATTCTTATAGTCATGAAGAGGAATTGGGTGGCCTGACTCGTCGTGGGTGCAAGGTGATGTTGTAGTCCGGAAGAACTCGACTATTAAACTAAGTAGACCTTCGTTCGTAAGCGTATATCTCAAAACCTGTAATGGAAGTACATGAAACTTACCAGCGAGAACAATGCCAGTCCAGAGAAAGATGATGTTCCGGCCAGGGTTTTCGAAATAGGTTCGGGATATCCTGACTGACAATGGAGCCGCTAGTATTCCAATCGAGCAAAACTGAAAGGCCCCATAGATGTCCATATCAACAGCAGCTAAGTAAAGTGCTGTTAGCTAGTTGTTATAAAGCTTTGGCTTGAGGTTATAAATACTTACTGTCTACGTGTACTGCGGCGAGAACAATGCCATGAAGAGCCGCGACGGCAGGGAAGATCACTATAATTCATTATATTAGTTGCTGTTACTTGTAACTATGCGTTGGGTTGTATAAGTGCCTCGGGTTATTATAATAGACAAACAACAGGGGTAAGGGGTAAAGAGTACTTACACGCAGCTGCTAGACAAGCGTTCCTAAGCCACTCTGCTTTTCGAGCAAACACACAAGCTGCTACGAGGACATAGTATCTATAAAGACATCAACGACTAGTTTCGTACAGGAGTTGAATAGTAACGCTATAGAGAGCTGTATACAAATGGGTAGGTTAACTTACAAAACCCTCGATCCCGGTCCATACTGCCCTGACACCGGCCAAGCGCAGATGACCTGGACAATTTCGTCTGTGTTGGCAGCATTAGTAGCATTAGAAGCCAGGACAATAGCAGACTCGAGCGTTCCGTTTCGACCGGCGATGGTATTTAGTAGTAAGGTCGAAGGAAGCGCTGGCATGACCTAGGAAAGACGACCCCAAAAAGGAGTAAACAGACGTGGTAATCACATTCGTAAGGAAGTTGGTAGGTTAGGTAGGTAGTTATGGAGGGATTGTAAATGAGAAATATCCCATCTCGAACATTTAACTGCGTTATTTTGTATATAATCTGGCTAGGAGCTAGGGTAAGTGAAGATAAAGCATGAATGCGGCAGAGTATGTAGGTATGTAGGCCTTCAGATCCATGGATTGCCTCGTAGTTTCAAAACGTAGGGCTAACGAAACGACGCGTAGATGATCAGAATTCAATACCTATTATCAAGCAAGATCCCGTCAGCTGAATTACAACAAGTCGCCCGCACCCGAGGCCAACGAGCACCGCCCCCGGATCAGTTCTGGGCACCGAGGGCAATTTTGTTCAGCCTCAATGCCATCTCATTTTGATTATCATGTATGAATACGAGCAAGTACATAATAAGCTGGCGACTATTTGGTGGTTGTTGTTTGTACTCTGCTAGGATTCTTCAAGGCTTAGGGCCGCTTAGAAGGTAAGACACCTGACTACAGAATGACGCACTTCCTATACCGAACCACAGAATAGGGATGATAAAGCGGGTCTAACCCCGGAATCCACCATCTTACTGGATCTTCTCCGCATCCTTCCTTTCCTGGATGACGCTAATCGCGTTGCACCAATCACTTCATTTCCCGCTCTCGGTTAGCGTTTGTGACTAGTCGAATCTAGCTACGTTCGATGGAGGGAGATAGTGTAGGGTACATGGCATAATCCTGATTTTATACGCTACAATTGCATAGCGTGATTAATTATTAACTATCAATATTCAAACACAGCCACAATTCTTGTCCGTTTTCTCTTTTACCTTTGGTCTTAATTCTCCTTCGTAGATGCTGTTTGGTTTGAAGGACAGTCATGCGTATATGTAATAGTATTTGATTCTGTGAAGGTACCTAATATGTATGGTTTTATTTCCAGGTACCCGAGTGTCTTGGCCATTCTCAGCCTCCACCTGGTACTCTACCGTCTAACCCCACCGCCCGAAGATATCTAATTCAGACCTCTTCAATCTCACCAGTCATAAATCCTCGTTGTCACAGAATGTACGCGTTAATGAGGTTTGCGTCTTGAAAATATTATATATATCTGTTGGGCTATGTTTAGTGGGACCGCTCCTTTTCTCGTTAAGAGTCTTCCTTCTTAATATCGCAATATATTTTTGGGATTTAATACAGCGGGAGCACGAACATTTTGCCGAGATAGCTCAGCTAGCCTTGCCAAGAAACTGTTAAAATGGCTGAGGAGCTCAGTGATATCGATATCAATCTTGATACGAGTATAATCCGAGAGTGGAGATCAATCGTCACACTCCTTGTTTTCGTCATCACCAGTAAGTATAAAATCTATCCAATCTATCCAAGTATACTGTATACGACATCTTCAACCGATCTACTTACACTACCACGCAGATATCATTGTGCTTTTTCCCTTTAATATCCCATTGTACATCCCTAGGGCAATTTCCAATGCCATACGAAATGCTCTGGTTGCTTTACGGGTGATAGGCCCACGGCAAAAAGGCCCTCAGTACGAGGCTGGCCTTGATAATGATCGCAGCAGGGAGCAGCATGGAATAGCTAGGTACTTTGTACGACTAAGGTTCCCTATGAACTTTGTGACAGCACCTCTGATAGCGGACCTCTTCCTGTTAGCTATTCTAGCAATTGGCCGAGAGGAGGTATATGGTGGAACGATTGGTGCTAACCACATCTCGCCCATCGACATCATGGCCTTTTTCATAACGCTGGCTTATATCGCTATCTCTATCGACGCTTCTGGTCTTATCAGATACCTCGCGTTTAAGGTGCTCCAAAAAGGGGGGAAGTTTGGCCACAGGCTCTTTTTTTACCTGTATGCCTTCTTCTTCAGCCTGGGCACATTTATCGGGAACGATCCCATCATCTTATCTGGCACGGCTTTTCTTGCGTACATGACCCGGGTCTCGAGCAATATCATACATCCTAGAGCGTGGATTTTCGCCCAATTTGCGGTAGCGAACATTGCATCGGCAATTTTGGTGTCGTCTAATCCTACCAACCTTGTTCTTGCAGGCGCTTTCAATATCAGATTCATCGATTACACCGCTAATATGATCGTCCCTGTCGTTATTACGGCGATTGTACTTTTTCCCTTTCTCCTTTACATCGTGTTCGCGGATGAGACCCTTATCCCTCTCTCAATCCAGATGCATGAGCTCTCGGAGGAGGCAAAGGCTAGGAAACCCGTCAATCCAAACATTCCTCATGCCAGGGGAAATGCTGAGGAGCAGGAGGATGATCCGACAAATAACGAGCAAAGCAAGTTGTTGTCATTGGAAGAGATCATGAACCCTTTCCTAGATAAAGGCGGCGCAGGTTTCGGAGCCGTCATCATGGCTGCAACACTTATCACAATCCTTGCGATAAATGCTGCCAGTCAGAACACCGGTGAACACCCGGTCTTTTACGTGACTCTACCGGCCGCATTCGTCATGTTGTGTTGGGATATCACATTTGGATGGATTCATCGCGAAGAGACGCGAAAGATCGCCCGTGATGGCCGACGTGATATCGAACGAGCTCGAGCTGAGCGACTTGCTAGAGAGCTCGAAGAACTGGAGGGGATTACTCCAAGTCAGATCCGAGAGCAAGAGCAGAAAATTGGTGTTAATACTCAACCTAGCACGTCACACAGCCGTTCGTTAGACACCAAATCCCAGAATCAGAATGACACTACCGGTGGTATTAGATCCCGCACAAGCCTAGCCGGTTCAAATACGGATGTTGAGACTACTATAGGAGCCGAGAAAGCCAGTATAAAGCCACCGAGTGAGGAAGTTCAATTACACGACAGCCGTTCTACTGACGCGACGAATACGCTTGTCGATAACCAGAGATCAATCCACACAGACTCATCTAAACCATCTGAGGGCATATTAAGCGGAGAGTTAGGTGAAAAGAGCCGGGTACCATCCGAACGAGAGATGGATGCGGAAAAGCAACCCCGTTACAGCGTCGCGATTCACCAAGAAAATGAGAAAGCGACGCTAGTATCGCTAACTATAGACGGTTATAGATGGGCACAGGAGACATTCCCAACAGCAGCGGTAGTTATGAGCCATCTACCTTTCGCACTCGTCCCCTTTGCCTTCTCCATGTTTGTCCTCGTGCAAGCTTTGGTCACGAAAGGCTGGGTGCCAGTGTTTGCTTACGGTTGGGACCACTGGGTGAATAGGACGGGAACAATTGGCAGTGTTGGCGGAATGGGATTTCTTTCCGTAATACTTTGCAACGTAAGTTTTCACACAAACTTCATCTGGACCTGATATTTGAGTACCTCAGCTAACCCCTGAGCCTAACTTAGTTCGCGGGAACCAATATTGGCACTACCATCCTTCTCTCCCGCGTGATACAGGCGTGGCAGAAGATTCACCAAGCCAATAACACGCCGATATCAGACCGGACCTTTTGGGCTACTGTTTACAGGTACGTATCTTTATCTTACGTGGAAGCGTTTGGTGTGATTATATCTATTTACTACATGCCAATCAATATTCACCCCTTATTTTCAGTCGTCCTACTGCGAGCCGCTAACTAATACGCAATAGCATGGCACTTGGCGTCAACTACGGCGCGTTCAGCACAGCGTTCAGCGCATCCCTAGCCGGCCTCCTCTGGCGCGACATCCTCGCCAGAAAGCACATCCGTGTCCGAAGGCTCGATTTCGCCCGCGTGAACCTTCCGATCATCACGATTTCCATGGTTGTCGGTTGTGCTATTCTTGTTGGCGAGGTCTATATTATTAGGCCTACTACCGCTTATGACGCATGATTACAGCATTTGTTAAGCCCGCATAGAATTTTGGTATGATTAACGATATCCGATAGAGGTTGCATATGAATAATGATATTTCATTTCGTCGGCACACTAGAATGACCCTATTGCGAGATAACCGAGCTACCTAATCCATTGTGTATGTGGTAAATTATTACGCGAAAATCATCTCACCCCTGTAACCAACCCAGTATCACAATAGACATTGACTGTAAAGCCAGTAACCACCACCACATCGGCCGAGGCGTTTTAGGGGCGTTATTCAGTATATATCTTAAAGCACGTGGCTTCGCCTCTGGAGTGCAACTGTAACAAAATGGCCAACCGGCAGGATGTGTCTTCTCACACAGGGGGTAGATGGTCTTTGATATCTTAGCGGCTTTCTCGAGGTGTTAAGCTTTCAAGGAACTAGCTGTTTGTGATCATGATGTCAAGCATGAACGATTCCCACGTTAAGGTGCCTCCGTACAAGTCCCTTTCGAGAGAAGAATGCCATCGAGAATGATTAGACTTGATTTTTCTCATCACCATAAGGATCTTTATCTTATCATCAATAGGCAGACCTAGTTGCTGTAGACGACTGGTGATCTCTTGGACTTTGATGCTATAGTTAAGCAATGTTGTGTCGTCCACTTTGAGATCCATGAGCTTATAAAAGAGCCTGGGAATAGAGTGTTCCGAAGATTCCGGGATAGTCGACAGAACGAGGTCATACAGATCCTTGGGGTCCTCTTCATCCTCCTTCCAACCAGCCATTTCAAGTTGTGCTGCTATTGCTGGGCCCTTCAAAGAATGAGTAATAAGCGCCATGCAATGTACACGTCTTTTGCGCCATCTTGGAACCTCGTTAACGTCTTCAGGTTGAAGCTCAGTGCCCTGTAGAAAGCCCTCAAGTCCGTAATAGATGCATTATTGGTAGATATGGCGTTTCCAGGCTTTTAAGCCGCCTTCACCAGTTAGCTGAGGGATCGTGGGGAAGCGAATTGACGGCTCCTCCATTTCGGTGGATCCGACGAATAACTCTCGAGAGTGATAGATGACTAGGGGATGGATATGCGTGTCGCTCGGATCCGGCAACGATAGGTGTAGTTCAGACACGACTGTTGATGAAAGATAGTTCAAGCCTGACTGGCTTTCGGTGACTGACTCGAATACGGCTACGCTAAAAGGGAGTTGTTGTAGAAGGATGTATGGCTTAAACCTGGCACAAGGTTGAAATAAGAGGGAAAGTTCTAATCGGTTATAGCATAGAAAAGGAGCTGTTTCGTAAGGAAGTAGTGGCCTTCAAATAAGGAGCGGCTTTATGAAGGTAACCGCGACGTGATGGCTGACGATTTAAAGTACCTCCTATGTGCCGTAAAGGGCTGTAGTGCCGGCAAGTACACCGACGTAAATAGTGCGCTATAGTACCTCCAGGCTCTAGTAAATATCTAGGTTAAATAACTTCAAGACATGAAATAATAATTGAACTGGGCAACTAAGCCATCATTGTATATACCCTTAAAAATATTACGCAGGTGTTGTCTCAATGTCAATATTCTCATCGCGCTTCTTATCCAACTCATTGAACTTCTTAACTACCCTCAAAGTAGCGTAATAACTAAACGGCAACGCAATGAACCAGAGCCCAAGGTTGATGCTAGCTGTAGCAATCAGCGCTGTAGGAACGGCCTGGATACCGAACCCTACGGCAACACCGGCCGTCTCGATCCCCCGAAGCAAGGAGCTATATCTGATCTGGTCGCCCGGAGAATCCGATAGGTTGCTAATACACCAATAGATATAATTCTCGACCATTCCGGCGCCGAGACGCTCAAACATGTAAACGCCGAAGCCACGGCCAAACTCGGCTTGATTGCCCCAGTCCAGGACGGGCAGCGTGTGTCGATATTCGTTCTGGATATATACTGCCCAGATCCATGTCGCACTATTAAGAAGTGCGATTAAGATGTATGTGCTAATAGCTCGAGTCTGCCTCTTCTTCGTCCAGCGAATGTCCACCAGCGTGCCAACTAGCCAAGTAGCGAGAGTGCCGACGATAGCGGACATAAAGCTACCCAGCGCTCTCGATCGGACTGTGAAGTACGTTGCCAGGTATGTCCCCGGATACGCTTGGGTCCAACCATAGTACCAGAAAAGGGGCGTCAAGAGTAAGATTGACCTGCTCCTCATCAACCTCCACATCTCGCGGAGCTCGGTGCGCCAATGGATTCCCCTAGGCGCTTCGATGCGAGTCCCATCATCTCGCTGCACCTTGTCGGGGTTAGAAAGGAGGAGAGCGAGCAGACATCCGAGACATTGGATGGCGATAAAAGCCAGATACGTTTGGTATCCCACTTGACCGCGATGATTCACGTTAACATTCAGGCCCAGCGAAATGGCGCCCCCGATGATATTCCCAAAGTTGCGGAAGGTAAACCACGTCGCGATATAGCGGCCTCGCTTGTGATGCTCAGGATATCCCGTCGATATAGCCCCCTCCACGCTCCAGAAGAAGCCGGCGCTGATGCCGCACGTAACGGCGCCGACGTAGACGAGCCACGTATTACCCCATCGATTATTGACGTAGAGCCCAGCCGCATACAGGGGATATCCAAGAGTCCCTATAGACAGCGTCCAGCGGAACCCAACCGCATTTGTCAACCACGGCCCGCTAAAACAGGTCACCGTCATGAACGCGTAGAGCAGCGCATTGGCGGCGTTGACGAGATCCGGGCTCTGCGATCCGCCTACGCCGAGACCGTTCATAGCACTCCATATTCCGGGTGCGGAGAAGGCGCATATGCCCACCACGAGGATTTGGAATAGAGTGCTCCTGAAGAATGGGATTTTATCTGACTTTGACGGGATGCTGTCTTCGTTTACGACTGTGACGGAGGTCGGGGTAGCTATGTTGAGGCCATCTTTGGCGATGATTGACTCCCCGGACATCGCGATTGATGCTGGCTAGAAAGTAATGGGTATGTTAGATGATATAGTATGAGCTGGGTTTATACAATTCAAATGTTTAGGGATGTCCCTTAGGTTAGCATGAAAGCTTGTGAATATATAGGTACCTAGGTATTAATTATAAGCTACCTATGTCAATGTTATCACTTTAAGGTCGGAGATAACTTAACCATAACCCTCGCTCTAGACATTTCCCCATTGAGTTTATTATAAAACATACGCGAGTTTCTATACCTCTGGCGTGCTCGCCAAGTAGGGTATGTGGCGTATGCTGTATTAAGATATGGCATGTGCTTGACGTCTAACAGAAGTTCTAATGAGGCGCGGGGTTATAACTTATCAGCATTGATGAGTTCACAATGCTACCTTGAAGCTAAGTGTGCATGGTTTCATTGTTCCTCTAAGCAATGACGTGATTTTAGTCTGGAAATCGAGGGGCATAGGAGATGCAGGATATCGCATGATAGGTTGATGCTATCAGCGGCGATACTGGCCCAGTATAAGCTTTATCGCCGTGTTATACTCCATGTAGTTATGTCTACACTATTCTTAAAACCAGGTTGCTTTCCAAGAGTAGATTCTAGGTAACATTGAATATTCTCGTGAGACGCAATCTAAATGAATATTTATCATTAAGATGGCTACTACACTAAAACAAGCGACGATACAGTCGTTCGAGCCCGAGAAGATAACTTCTCCGTTGCTGGCATTCGAACAATTTGATCTCCCGTCGAGCAATCAGCGTGTGCTCGGGCCGCCCCATCCGGAGGGCACTGTGATTCCTCTCGCCCTGCGGCCATCAACTCCTAGCGATGCGGTGCCTGATCTTGATACTGTTATTGAAACAGTAAAGTATCTCCAATCGCAGGGTGGAATATTGACTAAGAAGTTGGCTGTTCACGGAACGCTGCTGTTCAGGGGTCTGCCAATTCATGATGCGGATGACTTTAGCAGATTTGCCCATGCCTTTGGTTATAAGCCACGGTATGTATGAAAACGCAGCGTTTAGCCGATGTATTCTAGCTTTCAAAATACCTCTATAATTCTATTATCATGTACAAAAACTAACGCCTTCGTAGTATGTCTTAAACAACTCTCATCATTGTATATGCCGTTATTCCAGTGCCCCGGGTTTAACCCCTGAAAGGAAACCAATCCAAACCCACTAACACCAAGCAGACGAAATCATCGGCATCGTCGTAGACAGGCCACTCCTCGCCCCCAACGTCGCTCCAGCCAACGAATCGCCCAAGGAAGTCCTAATCTACAACCACAACGAATCACCCCAGGTCCCCCACGCCCCAGAGTACATATTCTTCTACGGCGACAAAGCCCCCCAGCAAGGCGGGGAAACCCCTATATCCTCCTCCGTCGAGCTCTTCCACCGCGCGCAGCAGGAGATCCCCGACTTCATCGCCCAGCTCGCCGAAAAAGGCATCCTCAGCAAAGTCACGTACAAGACTAACAGGCAGTACGCGGGCGGCTCGACGCTGAAGCAGGCTTTTGGGAAGGAGATCCGGGACGGCGACGACGAAGCGACCAGGCGCGCTAAGATCGAGGCGCAGATCGCGCGGTACGGCCGCGGCAGGCACACCACGTGGGAGTGGACCGACGACGGCGGCGTCGTCCTGACACACCGCCTCCCTGCTATCCGCACGCAGCCGGGCACGGATCTGCCCACGCTGTTTACCGGGCTGGCCGCGTACTACAAGAACGTGCGGGTCAACGCGGCTGCCGGGCGGAACGTCACGCAGCAGCTGTTCGGGGACGGGACGCCGATCCCGGAGGAGTATCTGGCTGCGCTGGCGAGGATCACGGATGAGATCCGCGTGCTGCATAAGTGGCAGCGGGGCGATGTCCTGGTGTATGATAACATCATTGCGCAGCATGGGCGGGAGCCTTGGCAGGGCGAGCAGGCTGATCGTGTGGTTATGGCTAGTTTGTTTGACGGCCAGGTCCCTGGGGCTTATATTCCGGAGGACTGGGCGCAGGTTGTGCAGGCTCTTGAGGGATAGTTGGGTTGTGTAGGTTGTTAGCATGGCTTATGGATGCTAAGAGAGTTGTGCATTTGATCTGGTGGTTCTGGGAGTCAATGGTATTTCCTTTGCTATTGTTTAGCTTGGAGCTCAGGGACAAGCAGAAAATGCTAATGGAATGTGAAGGGGTAAATAGTACCCGGGCTTGAGACCGATACTGTGGATAGCCAAACCAGATATGCCGCTCCTATTCAGATCCTTCAAGCGTAAGTATGATTCCGTTCGAAACGGCCAGTTCCCGTATCAAGTCGGCGCATGCGTCGTGAGTATTCTCTTCTGCAAGCTGTATTGCCTTACGACATTGCTCCGCCGGGAACCCAACCCCGCCGCTCGCATTCCAGAGGAATTCGATCATGTCAAGTCGACCATACTCGGCTGCCGCTTCGATAGGCCACTGTCCATAATATAGAGACGGAGAAGCAAATATGTCCGCGCCGTAATCTAGCAATAGGGCGGCGATGTTGCAATTACCGCTTATAGCTGCGCATTGGAGCGCCGTCCTACCATTGAGAGTTGCTGGTTCGTTGTTGATCTGTGCACCATTTTGAAGAAGTAATTTTACCATATCAAGACTGCCTTGCTCTACAGCGGCTTGAATAGGGGTTCTTCTAATTCCCAAAGTGGCTTTTTTGTTGACTTGGGCGCCGCGATCTATAAGGAATTGGACTAAAAGTTGGTTCTTCGACTCGATTGCCTCCAAGAGTGGCGTTTTAAGTATACGAAAATAGCCCTCGTCGTATTCAAGGCATACGGCCCCGTTTATATCGCATCCTGCATCAAGGAGCCGTCTGGTCATCGGAAAGCCTGGTAGACAACTTTCTGCTTCTTTCGCAATGGCTAACCCGAGAGGGGACCATTGGACTGGCTCGGGCCCCATATTCGACATAGACTTAAAGTCAACGGCTCTGCAGTTAATAAATAAGTTTAGAACCTCAGTACCATTGACGTTTGCTTGAATGACATCCATGAGAGCCCGCGTTCCAAACAGTGGGACGCAAGTCTCCATCGATGAAGCATGCTGAAGCAATAACTGTAGCATATCCATATCCGGGTTTGTGAATAAATCACGTTGGATTTCTTTGCTGAATATATCCGCCCCTAACTCGAGTAAACGATGAACCATCATACTGTTGCGTTGCTTAACTGCGATTGGTAAGCACTCAGTCAAGAAATTTCTAGTGATAATTCTAGACTGAGCAAAGAAATTAAGCATGTCCATATTCCCCGACTCTAGATCTTTTCTAAGGAAATCGCATTCCTTAATGGCGCCTATCTTGAAGTCTGGGTAGGCAGAAATTAAGTCAGACAAAAACGACTTATTGCCGTACGCTCCAATGAAAAGGTCCGAGGTTGCTTGAGGTGTGTGTATACCTGAAATTTCGACTTCCATATCAAGTAAGAATTGCACAATGTCTTTTCGGTCATTTCTGCTCGCATACCCCAATGCCACTATTATGTTATCGCCGTGAAATTTGGGATAGAGGACCAATAGCTTCTTCACGTACTCCAAGTCTCCCACACGAGCAGCAGCAGAAAGCGCGACCGAAAGCTCATATGAATATTTGTCAAGGTGCTCTAAGGCGCCCCTAATTTCAAGTTCTCTCACTAGAGCAGCATTCCCTGCTTCTATTGCGCTAGATAGTGGTGTTAGCGATGATATTGGCATTGTTGGTGGCCGATATTTAATCAAATGCACGCTAGGGTTTTGAGTAAGAAGGAATGCGACAAGTTCTTCATTACCACCTTCGATTGCTGCAGCGAGTACTGCAGCTGAATCTTTGACATATTGGAAATAGGACCGCACAAGTTGGATGTGACCTCTTCCGGCACCAATGTAGAGTGCTTTATCTATTTCGGTCGAGTAACGGCTTAAAGATTGTTTGCAGTCGTTAAATATCTTGGCGAATGCTTTTTTGGCCTTTTCATCCGTAAAATTTTGTGCGATTAAGTATAGCCCATGAAATCTAGCTATGAATTTCGGATACTGCGCCGGTTTGAGCGAATACAAGATCTTCTCGGCAAGGTCCATTTGAACAAACTGACCTAACGCCATTCCAACAAGATGTGCGTGCACCTTTGCCCCCTCCCGGATTAAGGCATCTACCGTATCGAGCCAGTCTTGGGAGAAAGTACTATGACAACGACCAGTTCTAGGGATAAGTCTATTTACCAAATGATATAAGGCCCCTCCGTGGTGTGTATTGGGAATGAAATTCCGTTTTTTTGAATCAGATAATGTTCGGTTTACATCAGCTTTGAATTGGAGCAACTCGCGAATTGCTCGTAGATGCTGAAGCTGAGCAAGTCGCTCAAGGGGCGTATACTTTTCGCCTTCAACGAAGCACCATATTTTGTTAACGTCCACTAAGCCTGTTTTGAGGACGAGCCCGATTGCCCTATAATCCCCGGATTCTATCCACGCACGAAATAGATTCTCTGCAAGAGCCTTTGTAACGTGATTTGGCTTGTCTTGGAATAGGCGTGGTAATAGCTGGGCAACGTTGCTATTCTGCTCAAGGAATTTAGGTACGACTTTGAGCGGTATGTTGTCCATACCACTAAATCCATTCGCAGCCGAGAATAGAAGTATCCGACACATTTCAATCTCCGGCCTTTCCTGTGAGAGGCTGGTTACTTGATTATTTTTATCAAATAGCTGGCCGTTTGGGAGAAGCTTGTCCAATGTTTGTAGGGTAAGTCTGGCACTGGCTGCATTTGTGTTGACAGACTTCCCATTGGTACTTGTCATAGCAGTGGCGGCCTCGAAGAGGAACATCATCGCCCGGTTCCCAGCCCCGGATGGTAATCGGCAGTCGGGCGGAGAGTGCATAAGCTGAAGGCTTTTCGACAATAAGCCACGCTCAAATCGTTCAAAAGGCAAACCCTCTAAAAACATTGGCCCAAAAGAAAATTGGGTCAAGTCAAACTCCAAGGCTGGGCCCGCAATGTTAACGTCGAGTTCAAAGCGCATCGGTGACTGTGAAACTTGGTCTTGAATACTTATAGTACGCTCGAATATTTGATCTTCGACATTTATGGACTGGTCGTAGGTAATGAGATTCATAGTACGGGATGGTGATAGTCCCGGAAGTATATCCGGAAGTATATCCGGAAGTATATCCGGAAGTATATCCGGAAGTATATCCGGAAGTATATCCGGAAGTATATCCGGAAGTGTATCCAGAGATGCCAAGGACTCGATGGCGTCGGGCCATGGGACAACTTGTGCAGAGTAGTTTTCGACTTGAAACTCCTGCTCAGCAGACTCCAGTGTTTCGTCGATACCTGACGGTTGTTGTTGGGAGGGAGTATCTTCATCAGCTACATCTATGTATGGAGTCCAGTTGCCGTCGGAGCTCTGAACTTCGATGGTAACGCCTCCGTCGGCAATGTTTGTCGCCCGGTCTAAGCCCTCTTCAACTCGGCGTCGCTTCCGAGGACGGTGGTCACCCTTGAAGTAGCGTCTGGCTCGATTGATTCTGTCTATTGGAACAGGGTGACCTGCTATCATCACCCTGGCTTGAATACCGCGAGAAGATAGATTATCGATCTTTGGCAAGATCACTTCCCATTGGTCTTTCTTTAGATTCTTACGAGCGTTCCAAACTCGTAGTTGGGCTTCGAATTGCGATATACTGTATGAACACGGTCAGATAGGATAGAAGAGTGATGAGAGGGGTTGCCTTACGTAGCAGCGAACCCATATTCCTTTGCCATGGTCTGAACTAATTCATCCCCAGAGAGATCAGAAGTAAGGTAGAGGCTCAGAATAATCTCCTTGTGACGCTCCCAATCCCCTGAGGGAATCTTGCGTGCCTTACTAGCCATGTCTACGAAGTACTGATATAGGATGGGCCGTATGGTGATTGGAAATTACTTTAATTTCACTGAGATGGATAGCCAGATATATATGCCGATAATTTTTGACTGCCTACACTGCCTAAGCAGGCTGGGAGCCTGCCGCTAATCAGAGATCAGAGATACAAAAATGTACCTACTTTGATATGGTTGCAGCCCCATGGTACGGCCTTGTCGGATATGTCATAATGTGCTTTACCGGACCTGGATTTCATCCTTCAGATTTTGTCAACCAGGTTTCGTCAGCCAGGTTTCGTCGCTGCAGCTCAGGAGTAATAGATTAGGTAGGCAGGTAGGGTGGTGTTGCCGCGTGTCTCTCTCTCTTCCAATCATATAGACCACGCCTTATTTATCAGCAGCAGGCTCTGATAATATCCCATTTCCTATCACGATGGTATGCGGTTTTTTTCATATCACTGACTCTAATTGGCTTATAAAATAATTGAGGTGTGATAAGGCATGAAGGAATAGTCATGTCCCGTTTCGCTTCGTCTTGAAATTGAGTAATATGTCCGAGGCTATGGGGGTTTGCATGTCGCCCTTCATTTTGTCCAAGTACCTATCCATGGATTGAAGTTGTACAATGACTCGAAGCCTGACCATGTTAGATGAACCAAGCCACCCCTCCCACCAATTAAGACGCATGCTGTCAGATGCAATACCTAGGCAAATATTTGATAGCTATCACATGGAATGGAGGAGAAAAGAAGAAGTGAAGAGGGAGGAGAATATAACTAAACATACGAAATTGAATTATAATAGAAGGGGTGACTGGCTACTACCTATTGTGTGGCATGAAACGAGGTCTAGGGAGCTTCTCATCTCATAAAAAGTCACTACAACATAAGTTAAGATAGTCACGAATGTAATTTAGCCGGTCCTTTAACCGCGAACCAACTCTGATAAATGAGCCGCATAATATCAAGCTGTCGAGGCCACATTGAAGGTCTTGGCACTTCACCTATGAATACCAAGTTTCAGTTGGCAGTATATCTAAAGAGGAGAAAACGTTATATGTGATTCTTCCTTGACGTTCGCGCGATGTTGCCCTACCGCAGAGCTGTCGCGGCCGTTTGCATTTTCGCCCCTCTCTTCTACATTTACTGGCGGACATTCCTGGTTCCTGATACGCCGAGGACCTTTAGAAGTTGGAACGTAGCCGAAAAAGAGGTGTTTAATGATACGTTGGGTGTAAGATTTCATTTTTCTTCTTATACCTCTTATACCTCTTATATCTATCACAATTAGGTCTAACGAAGCCCAAAGTTCTCAAAAATATTCGTCATCAACCTGCCGTCGCGGAAAGATCGTCGAGATGCTATGAGTTTAGCGGGCACTGTGAGCAATCTCACTTTCACATGGATTAACGGCGTATCGGGCGGTCAGGTGTCAGACCGCGATGTGCCTGTTCGTAGAGGAATACGTTCCTCGTCGGGGGCGAAAGGGTCCTGGAGGTCGCATATGAATGCGCTTCAATCAATTATAGGGGAGAATCTAACGAGTGCACTCGTTTTAGAGGACGATATAGACTGGGATGTACGCCTAAAATCGCAACTTCGAACTTTCGCTTTGGCCTCGAGGACCTGGCTAAAAGAGTCCAAGTCTGATCAACACCGAACTGTACAACTTTCCCCAGAAGCTGGCACGGATAGTGAAGTTCACCAAATCACATACGGGGATGACTGGGATGTCTTGTGGCTGGGCCACTGCGGTGCAAATTTCCCTGATAGCCAATCTCTCATATCACCTCTAAGAATCAAAATCCTAGGAGACAAGACGATCCCAGCTCCAAAGCATCTCAAGCCTCACCCATTTGCCCTGAACGACAAGCTCGGCGAACTATACCCGCCGCATACTCGCGTCGTCCACGCGTCCAGCAGGAACATCTGCACCCTCGCCTATGCCGTCAGTCACCAGGGAGCCCGCAAGCTTTTATCGCAATTCGACGGTCACTATGATACCCAGTGGGACTTGATGCTGCAGAAATGGTGCGAGGGGAAGTATGCTGCTGATAACAAGCCTCGCCCGAATCCAAGGACAAAAGATGATAGCGGGGTTACCCATGAGCGTGGAGGGTCCGCTCCCGTCTGCCTCACGGTACAGCCGCCCCTATTCAGTCATCATTATGCAAAAGGCGGCACTTCCAATATCCAAGCCCAAGGCGGTGGCTACGCGAAGGGAACGGGTACGCCGTATATAAGACTAAGTGTTCGGCAGAACATCGACCGTTTAGTTGCTGGCGCCGGGGAGGATGAGATGGTAGACCAACTACCCGATGACGGGGACACCATATGGAAATAGATGGAAGTTTATGAAGTTAATATATCTTCTTTTTGTGTTCGGTTTAGGTCTACAAGAGATACTACCCCTCTAATCGCCTCTTAGTACATCACCAAACCACACCCTTCTCCCAAAAGATAGGGAACGAATGCAAGAAGCAAAAAGGAACAACTCTAGAAAGGAAAGCCTAGCCTATATCTCATGAAGTATTCCCATACCTATAATCGAGCCAGGGATCCCCGCACTACTAGTGCAACGCAGTACCATTGTGTTGTCGTGCGCGGGTCCATTTTCTCTATTCATAGCGTCCCGATGAATTGGAGGGGGCTGCTGTCAAACACGTTGATATCTTGAAATCTATTTTTTTTATTCTAGCATCAGATATGGGGCTGGCAGAAGTGGAAACACCATGCTTTACTCGTCTTAATATGGTAAAGGTAAGCCTGTGTGAGTTATTTACCATTCTCTGATTAGTGAGTTTATCATCTGAGCCTCTCCGCGGGTCTGGATAGGGCTGGCCAATAAGGGGGCTCCAGTCGTTAAATGGCGTGCGTTGCGAATCTAGGATATGCTTGTTTCCTCACGAGCCAGCTAGGGACTATTACAAATAGGGTTATGCCGCACGCCAAGAGCCATCTTATTGCGATGCGTAATTAATCTCAAACCATTCCGTCCCAGATAATAGTCACAGCCCTCTAAAGCAAACGTCTATCACAGGTACATAAGAGACACTTCACATAAACCACAGCAAAGGGACTAATAAACATCTCTCATGACTTATGTATGTGTCGTATCTATTCGGCATCATGCTCTAGGGTCGAACCCTGCGAATGCGAGCCCCTCATTCTATCTATCATGCCATTCCCCTGTCCGTCTATATGAAACGCCTGTACGGGACACGTCAATGCGTCGTCGATTATAATGCCAATTTCCCAAACAACGCAAAGCTCTATCAAAAGCCCTCGTTTGCGAAGGACCAAGTTCTTGAATATGAATGAAAGTCACCAGCCTCTAGACCGACGTGCGTAAAAGAATTCATCAAAGGTACCATCTTAAGAGAGATGGTCGCCCCTTACTCCTCATCATCCGTATCAGCTGGGTGTGGTGTACCCTTGGGACTGTTGAGCCACTCGATATGGCGTAGTCTCCTTCGCACCTCCTGCTCCTTGAGCTCCTTCTTAGTCTTCTTCCTCTTCTTCTTAGCCTTAAACTTCAATGGGCTATTATCCTCAGTACCGCTGTTGACGGCGCTGCTTACTGCACTGCTAGCTGCTGTGCTGTTAACCCCGCTGGTAATACCACTTGCAAGACCGCTGCTTGGCCTACTGTCTTCAAAGCGATCCATGGCAATCGAGGCGTTACCCTTCAAGACCATACGCCCGTCGTTTATGTGCCATTGTTCATTAGCCAGAGCACCGACGAACTCTTCGTTGTGAGAGATCATGACCACACCGCCCTTGAAGTCTCGGATGGCTACCGCAAGACCACCAAGAGAATCGCGATCCAAGAAGTTAGTAGGTTCGTCAAGAACGAGCAAATGAGGGTTGTTCCACATCGCACCGGCGATAACAACCTTAACTTTCTGGCCCCCAGATAAGCTACCAATTTCGTTATGGTTGGCAATCTCGGGGTCGAGACCGAGGTCCTCAAAATGCTTAGAGATGACCGTAGGTTGAAGCTCTCGGTAACCTAACCCTTCACGAGACGCCTCGTGGTCGTCGAACTCTTGTACAAGTTTATCAAAGCCCCATTCTGAGAGAGTCTCCCGGGAGACTTGCGAGTTGAATTTTGGTAGCCATGTTCTCCATTTCCTGTAAATTGTCAGTGGCTGTCTTTAAGAGTAGAACAATAATGGTAAACAACTTACACCTCGTATTGAAATGTTTTCTTGTACTTCTGACGACCGACAAGAGCCTCAATCTGTCGTTCGCCCTTTCCATCACCAAGGTCAATTCGCTTATCCATCTGTTCTCGGTCTTTATCCGAAAGAATACGGGTCTGCTTCAGGAACACCTCTCTGTCGTCTCCATTTGCATACCGCCATTGCAAGTATTGATTCGGCGTCTTCTCGAGATGCATCTCAACGTGTTCGAGAGCATGCTGCTTAATGTAACCAATTCGTAGGTTGGGGTGCTTCTCAACTTTTCCGCTGGTCGGAACCACCTCACCCGTCAACAGCTTGATCAGGGTTGACTTTCCGGCACCGTTCGGTCCGATCACAGCAACACGGGAAGAAAGGGACAGCTGGCACGAGACATCTGAAAGTGATGGTTTAGGCGCCTTGGGGTATTGGAAAGAAACCCCAGTCATTCGGATGATCGCCCGCGTCTGGGACTTGACACCTGACAAGATACCCGGAGGAGGAAACTTGAACTGGACATTGGAGGCGGAAAGGGTATAATAAGCCTTAGCTTCGGGGCGAATCTTTACGAAGTCGGAGAGGTTGCCTTTGAAATGACCAAGTTTCTTCCCAGGTTCATAGTGGTAGATGTCAGTTGTTACGTTGTCCAAGAAACTAGAATCGTGGGAAACGATCAAGCTGGTGATGTCTGTGTGGCTCTTAAGGTAGCTTTCCAACCAAGCAATGTTGGCAACATCGAGATGATTGGTAGGTTCGTCAAGTAATAGAACATCAGCTTTTTGCAACATTGCTCGAGCAAGAGCGAGCTTCATCTTCCACCCTCCTGACAGAGAGCCAACCTTTTGAGACTGTCTACCCTCAGGGCCTGCCGTGAAGCCGAACTCAGCTAAGACTTCGGAAATTCGCTCTCTGCCCTCAGATGCGATTGTTGGATCTTTGACCATGAAGTCCAGAATGCTAATATCGGCATCTTCACCTTGGTTGTGCTCGACGTAGCAGGTACGAAGGACATCCTGAGGTGGGAAGCCTTCCAGCTTGCCACCAGCAATACTCTTCATCAGTGTAGACTTTCCGGCACCGTTGCGACCACAAAGACCATATCGGTGTCCCTTCAATAATCGAAGATTAGTGTGGGAAAGAAGAAGCATGCCACCGTAGGCCAGGGAGAAGTCTGCATTAACAATCTCAGTCTCGCCATCATCTTCCTTCTCCGGCACGCCGTACTTGCGGTGGTCCTCGGCAACGTAGAATTCATAGACTCCGGAAGCGACGGTATCGTTGGCGCCCTCTTTATGTATTATATCTTTAAGATAGGGCGCAATTCTAGCTGGGATTCGATCAACTTGACGATGATTAGCATCCTCGGCCACCATCTTGCAGATATAAGGACGAGCTATTTTATAAAACTCTAGGTCGCCTGAGAGTCCCCCGTTCTTCTTGATCTCGGAGTCCAGAACCTTAGCGACGTCATCTGCAGAAGTCCTCTCCACTACAGCTTCATCGTTGCCCATAGCTTTATCCATGACATCCAAAGCCCTGGTAGCCAGCTCGCGCACCTCTGGTAGCGGCGCACGACCAACCACACTTTTGATACCTGGCTGAAGCTTCGGTAAAAATGTACGAGCCTCGATAGGATCATGGACCAGCTTGGTCAAGTTTTCGGTGATCACGACAGTTTGTCGTAGAACCTCTTGAGCGGTGGAGGGGTTGTTAAGGGTTCGCTCAAGGAAGGGAGTAAGCAAAGCGAGAACAGGTGATGTTACGACGGCGACGAAGGTTGTCTGCGAAAGAGCGTGGATGGCCTTCTGAAGGGTCTGGGTCGAAGGGTGATGCATAGTGTCAACTAGAAGGGGAATCCTAGGAGCGACATCGTCATTGGAGAGGAGGGTGGTGAGGGATTGCATCGTAATGAGTGCTTGCTTCTCAACTTCGGACTTGAGGTCGTGCATGTTGCCCTCAACTATGGGGATCAAGCTAGCCAGCTTTTCGCCCATAGTCTCTCTAAGGGTATCCTTCTCTTGAGCTTGTTCCTTCGTGCAACCAATTTCCATCTTTGCTTTATCGGCCATCCTCTGCATCAGTTTCAAGGCACCAACTGTACCCTGCCACTTTCCGGTCTTCTTGGACAGGTAAGTTGTAAGCGCGGGTAACAAGCCAACGACCATAGCCTCAGCACTTAAATGACCAAAGAGCGCATCAAGTCCGTATTGCGCAGCATCGCGGACCACCGTGCCCTTATCGGCCAAAGCGTCTAGAGCAACCGAGACGAGACCGCCATCCTGAATTAAGAACACAACTTCACTCAGCGGCTGTCGAGGTGGGAACTTCTCAAAGAGGGCACCGAGAAGGTTCTGGGCACCCTCTCGTCGTAATCCACTCTTCTTATCAGATGCGGCTTTCTTGAGTTCTGCCAATACACCATAATCATGCAGACCCCGAAAGCCTAGAGTGTTTAACAGGAGTTCGCAGAGTCCATAAGAGGCGTCGACGGAAGCAGCGGAGGTTTTGGCGGTAAATATAGTGTCGAGAATTGATGAAACATCTTGTTGCGACGGCGGGGGAGGGGCGCCCGCCTTAGAAATCATAATCGGCGGCGACACTTGATGAGGCATCGTGAGCGCTCGTTCTCAACGAATTGGGCAGAAAGAAAAAGGAAAACACCCAACTTGTTGAAAAACGATGAGGCAAACGGCACCGCAATTTTAATAAAGGGTCAGCTGAACTGCCCGAAATGCCCTCGATCGTGGGCGCTGAAAACTTTGACGGTGAGCCAGCGTCTTACTTTTTTGATGTGTGGAGTTAAAGGAAGACGGGATGGAATTTTGGAAAAAAAAAAAGTTGGCCTTATCGACTTTGTTACCCCTCGAAAAGTTTTCTCCCTTTATCTACATACAGGGATATGAAGGGTATGTGGATGTACATACTGAAAATAGAATGGGACCTCTTGGTACGTACCTTCCTACCTTCGGTGCACGTTTTCTTGCTGCCGTCTTCTTGTGGAGCCAATCTAGATCTATCCCCAGGCTTCACGCTACAAACGGCCTTAGACCAGACAAATTTTCGAGGTCTAAACTTTCACCCATTTAGCGTCCATGTCTGACCAATCACGATAGCATACCTTACTCATAGCATCAGAAGATGATAAAGAAAAAAGGACGGTATCTCAATAGGAGCCCAGACGTTTAATCCATCCAATAGCATTCTTCCTTTTTTTATTAACAATCATGTCGGGTTTATGTATTAGAAGAGTCACTTACGTAATTTTAGTTTGTTGTAAGCCCTACGAGCCCAGTTTCGATAACGTGTAACCTGAGGTCCCCTTGCCCCCCCTGCCCCCCCTGCCCCCCTAAATAGCCGTAACAGCCCACAAATAGAAGACTCCCTAAAAGGTACCTAAGCCTCGAAGTTTATGCTACCAGCTAATCCAATTTAAAGAGTTGATCACATATATTTTACCTACCAACATTTGAAATTAGGGTATACAATTGCCTACGTACTCGTCATAGTGTCAAACTATCTAGGTTAAGGTATTGCTCTCCGACTTAAAATCCCCCCCATTCAATAATAACTAATCAATTTTAGTTGAACTCTTTCTCCCAAGTCTATCAGCCAAACTGGCATACGTATCGGTGGTAACTAATAAAAAAGACATTGCGAGAAGGTAGATCATAGGCCGATAAACTTGCCAATTAGTTAACTAGTTAACTAACTACTACTTATTAAACTTACAAAGAACTTCAAGCGTAGGTGAACCTAGTATAGCGATATTCCAAACAGCATTGCATGTTGGCTTCGCCTTATCTTGATGCAGTAGAACTCACACGATAACTAGTAGTAAACCCGTAGAGACAGACCGAATATAGGTAAGCAGCGCGACGAAACTAAAGCCAAAGTGGATGCTTCGGGAGGTTGCTCCAGTCGTTTTCGTATAAGACAGCTTCCTCCGCCTTTGGTTTAAAAACAAAGAGATGTTTGGTTATTGTATAGTTAATGTTAGCTTACAATTTCATAGCAAAGAAGCCCCGTTTAAATATTATCGCTATTAAATCATTAGATAGGTACCTAAGATAGAAAATCTAGGATCGAATAAAGAATGCTCTCGGGATTAAATTCAGATAGGATGGATACATTCCTTAGAGCTGGGGTATGTTCGTGATACCCTCGTTTTTCTAGTTAAGTTCGCGAACACGAAAAAATAAAAAAAACTGCACGATAGAGATGCGGTCTCGGTATGTATTAGACATCTCGTGATTCGGAAATTGTGACATTTCACATAGAAGGGGCAAGATGATTCGCAATAAGCACGGATATCACTTACGGCGGCATGATGCGTTAGTCGCGATCTGACGTCCAACATCGACAGGACATTGGTTCCCCTATGTACGGAGCGCACGGACTATATTGAGCCCATGGTCTTCGAGACTCGACGAAAGAAGATATGTCGTCCGCACGGGTGTAACAACTTCGGAGATAAGTTCTGATACTATGTATTTCATCGAGACAGAAAGCTTCTACGTTAGCACGCCAATACTCATTGTGATAGTGTGGTGGACTACCCATTAGGAAGACAAGGTGGTGAATAGATCCCCTCACGTAAGTTGTTTCCCGGAAGTACAATATCAAAGTGTTCGAGGCGCGGACCGGAATGCAACATTGATGCCAATATCCATAGTTGTGGCTACAAGACCCGGTAGCATTGAAAGACCTGTTAGGAATGGAGAGGACGAGTTCCAAATTTTTACGCTTCACATTAGTTGTCTAGATTGGTTCAGTCGGTCCGTCCTCACCGTAGATGTTGGCGAAGAGGCGTAAATGATTTGTCGCCCACACCTAAGGTAGGACATTACCAACAGAAGTTAAAGCAGCTGACCAAAATTGTCGTGAGATAAGCTAGGAGAAGCGAAGGGCATAATGGAAGGGGATTTCTCTATGAGGAAATCTGGGTTGCAGTAAAGGGAAATATCACGGGAGTTGTTGGACCACGCCAAGAGAGCCAAGACATTCAAAATTTCCCAATTAGGATAATGAGGCAACTTTAGCTAGGGCCGGGAATGATGCACATTTCGGCCGGTAACAAGGTCGTTGATGTTAGACCCACGGATATCGGTATGTGCATGTATTGTCAAGGTAGTGAAGGAAGATCATACCGTTACCTGGAATTCGGAACTGTCATCAGACGAACTTGCATACGGAGCTTTGTCACCCTAAGCTACATAGCTCGTAGAAGATCATTCACGATACGGATACGGATCCCCCTATTACGGTGGGAAATTCTGACATTGATCTTCAATTTATTATGCATCATGTAGTACGTGGTCATCTCGTCTATCTATGTATAGTAGGGGTAGTTAGCTATATACCTACATAGGCAGGTTTCCATGCTTTGTGTGACTTGTCCTTTTCGAAGTCGTCGCCGTCATAAGTCGAGACAGGCTCTAAGACTCTATCCGTCTCTATAAGCTCGATGAGGAATGGCTGCCGAGCAGCAACCCTCAAGATGATAACCGGGTCGATTCAAGCACTTCGCTAAACCCCTAGACGTGATGCAAGGATGCCAGAGCGGGATTTGCCGGAGGTGGTAGGCATGTAACTTAGATGGGTAAACTGGGGAAAGCGGAAAATTAAGTAAACCAGCTTCAGGGGTTCGTGGTCTATCAGCCCATCCCGGCGCTTGATATTTAATGGAGCTTACTGTTTGTAGCCCCGGTTGTAACTCGTTGATAGTTGTTGACCAAGCAAAAAGACAGGGTAGCTACGTAGAACCGATGCACTCACATATATTTGCTAGAAACTGATGATAATGGTCTCTAAAAAGCTACAAAACCCCCAAGGCTCACACAGAACGCTCTAGCCGAATCACTTCTTCGCCGTACGTTTTAGTTCTAATTTTAGTAGTGTGTGAAATCGGAGTACGCCATCTTCTATATATAAGATAGGCGAACTATGCCCCATCTTTGAGATGAAGACAACGCTTACAAATATAATAGCAACATCGACACTATCTACTTTCTTCAACATCAAGTTACACTGAGAATCATACTACATAAACACATCATTGAATCTAATGCACTTTATTTAAGGCGCAATGGCATCTAACTCTACTGGTACTACGGGATTTCAGTTCATCACCTCTATCAGCACCGTAGAGCGGGACGGGGAGACACGCCGAAAGGTACGCTCGCATGCCAGGCGGCAGAAGCTCCCTCAAAGCTCCAACCATCCATGCCAGTCGAAGAAACCAGGGTCCGCAAAAGACCATACTTCGAAGTTTAGACTTAAACCCAAAGGCTCGTCCAACAACCAGGATGACGTCCCAAGGTACGAGAGGAAGCTTAAGAAGACGAATTGGCTTGCTGTTAGTGTCGCAAAGGAGCTTCCGAACTTCACTCTGTTGCACATAGAGAAGACACCTTTGACAGAGAGCTTGATGAAATATTGCATGGCTGTGTGTTTGTCGCCACAAGAGACAGCGGTAGAGAAATGGTTTGACCGGGCTGGGGTACCGACATACTTGAACACATGTAAGCTAAACTTCCTTATTAACCAAAGGCAAAAGATGATTGTTGACCAACTATAGATTATTCCGGATTCCTCGCAAATGCTTTCGCCATGAATCCAGAAGGAACTTGGGTGCAAGGGGTTCAGTCACCTAATCCCCATCATATAAGTAACTAGAGGCTAACATGTAATAGCTTCAACTTGATAAAGCCGCCACACATGCCTTCATTGCCATGATCGCAGCTATGCACAACTCACTTGCGAGGTGGGCCGACACGAGTACTATCGACTTCCATCGGTTCCAAGCAGTCAAGTCCATAAATGAGAGGCTGAATCTAGAAGGCAAGGACGATAGCAAGCCAATCTCAGATGGTCTTGTCATCGCTGTCTCTCTACTGGTTAACATCGAAGTGAGTTCTCAATAGAAAATGACTTGAGAAAGCCAAACGTTCAAGGAGCTGACCCTACATAGACTTTTATTGGTTCGTTAAGTGCTGCCGAAGCTCATATGAGTGGCTTAAAGAGAATGGTTGACCTTAGAGGCGGTATTGTCGATGGCTTTAAACACAGCAGTATACTTCAACGGTCCATATCATGGTAAGCAGAGTTTATTACTACTACATAGCTTCTCTACTCTAGATTACATACTTACTACTGTAGGGCTGACTATTCCTATGCCACCGCTGCGCACAAGCCGGTCACTTTCCCCTTTATTCCACAGCTGGCATCCTCCCTAGCTCTCCATGATCGGTTCACAAGCCGCTCGATGTTAGCGAACATGGAACCGCTTGGGTTCAAAGACCTAACCATACAGAATCGCGAAGCGGTCGAGCTTTTCGAACTGTTATATTCGATCACTGATTGCATTAATAACTTCGACTATGCAAGTCTCGAGAGCACATTTGGGCAGAGGATCCAGGTCAGCGACTCGATCTACATGATTGAGTGGCGGCTCTGTCATTTGGAACATGCCGCTCGGAGTCGCCAATCTTGGAAGAGAGCCGGCTCCGTTCCATTGCTGCCGTCGATCGAGGTCGACGCACAGCCACGGTTCCCCTCGCCGACTGATTTGTCCGATGTTTTGGTCTACGCTGCACATCTGTTTCTGCACCTTGCCATTCGAGGTCAGCCCCCTTCCGCTCAGAGGCATCGCGCACTGGCAGAAGCACTCATGTCCTGTCTCTGCGACCCTGTGTTAACCTTGGACCTTTTATCCGAGCCGAAGGTATACGAAAGTAGCGGGTTACAGCTAATAAATAGCAACGCGGAACAATCCACTACGGCAGACTTATCTGCCTATGTCCCAACATCAGAGATATCGCACACGGGCATGTCGAGGCTGTCCGGAGACGAGCTTCATGCTAACATTCTCCTTTGGGCCCTATTCATAGGGTCATGCATCCGCATACCAGTTGTGATAAACGAATACTCGGTCCTAGGCGGTGACCAACACAACTTCTTCATCACTGCGCTGAAGAATTACTGCCGGATGAGAGGCATCCTAGATAAAGAGATGCTTCTCACGAAACTTAAGGATGTCATGTGGCTTTACAGCTGGTGCGAACACCAGCTAGGACTTGTCTGGGAAGAGATTGCGGACGGCCTCAGACCATACGTGACGGCGGGGGACCAAGTGAATCTCCCCATGGGTCATGATCAACAGGAGCAACGATAATTAACTCCCATTACCGGGAATCATAGTAATGTCTAATCTAATAAGTACTTAAATCGCTAGCTGACTCACAAGCTGTAAACGCTGGTAGCACAATCTTCAGTCACCTACTAATATTGAATAAACTCACCTTAATCTAAGACTATGTTACTACCTAAGGTCTTTATTATTTTTGTACTTAAACTAGAATGTTAAGCAGAACCCCCGAGTGATTGAACACAGTTTCATTGTAAATCATCCTCTATAAAAAGGAGCTTTCCCACCAGCACCATCTAGGTTTCGCACTACGACTTCATCATCGGATACCTTAGGTACCTAGTAGCCAATAAGTATGTCAGTAAGCGCAGGAAAGCCGGCTCAGCCGGTCCGTTCCCCATCGTCCAGACCCGAGCCCCAAGACCAAGATCCAGATCGATATAGACGATCAGCCGCTCCATCCCCAGAGCCACACCCACCATGCCCACTGAATGACCAGACGCAGAAAGGAAACCTGCAGAAGGGCCACGATGTTGGATCCAGGAAGTATGGGGCGGGTCAGAAGCGGTGAGGGGATACTAGCGTCAATAGTATTTGTTACCGGCATATATCTAGATAGTGTCAGAGTCATAATATAACCCTAAGACTTACCGGCATGAGATTGACCGGAAACATTCCGAAAGGCGAGAAAGTATGTTGCTGACGCTCTGAGTATCACAATAGGCTTGTACTTAAGCGGGACTCTGAACATATTTATTTATTACCCAGTCACCGACAAGTGGTGCGAGTTGGGCGAGTAGTGTAGTAGACAAATGCTAGCCATATTAATATAGATCAATATGATCCTCCTATACTATTCTCAACAAAGGCTTTATTAAAAAGGAATTTAAAAAAACGGCGTGAAAGTCTTAACCTAGTAAGCAGTACTGCTAAAGATGCCTCTAAGCTGGCATGTACATCATCTAGAGACAAGCGAATTCAAATAGTATAAGCTTATTTAAATTCACTACCTACCTACCTATATTAGATGTCAATCACTAGATTCTCTAAGTCCCCTAGTGACATAAATTCTCGTATTACTTCTTTTTAAGAAGGTCTGTTACCACCTACGAATTTAGCCGGCTTCGGTTTACAGGCAGCGGACTTCGCGGAAACTAGACAGTCGGCCGAAGACGGCGCAATAACAATCCTACGGCCTATTTGGTATCCCCATATCCGGAATTGTGTGATACTCCGAGGATGGTTGAGCGGCACCTATAGCGGAGCTCTCAGCTGCAAAAACACTATGTTTATCGGAGATGTCCCTCAAGATTGAATCACGATGTATTGTCCATGATCCATGAATTCTTCGCTGAGCAACCTGTTGGCGGATAACACCGACATAGCATGGCGGACCCAGGACAATTGCCGCCGACGACGTCCGATCAGACAGAAGCCTCGGACTGGGACACAGCACTGATTATAACTGATGACTGGATGAAAACAATCCCCCCGGAGAGGCGGCATAGCGGATGGGAGGCAGTAGAAAGACAATGGATCGGAAATATGCAATCACAGCAACCAAAAGATTCAAGGCCTACCAGGTACAAGCCCGACTGGCCATTCTTTATTATCGTATCTAACAGGGTCTTATAAGGGAATTTACAAAGAAAGAGTATGAAGCTATAGAACGGTTTCCATGTCCGCAGAAGACCCTACCAATTCCACAGCTAGAATTTGACTTCCGAATGAGAGTTATTCTGAGTTCCCAGTCTGCTTCCGTTGCCGTAAACGATGGCTTCAAGAAATTGTCCACAATCTCCGACGGGAGCTGGTCGGGCCGCTTTGGATACGGTCTTGTTGTCGTAGGTTATCCAAATTAATCGTGGTATATGTTGATATAAAACATTGACTTGGAATAGAATGGAGGACAAGAGAGTCAAGACACGATCCATGGAAAAACAACGGCGACTTGGGTGGAAGGTATACATCGGCTACAAACCGGGGACGAAATACCAGCATAGTGAGTATGTCGACATAGGCGAGAATGTAGAAGCTGATCTATATACCTACCTAATAGCATCGAATGCAAAACGCGAGGGCATATGATCGGACCTTCAGAGCTGGTGAAGGCGCTTCAAGACCCAGAGGCATCAGCATCGGTAGACCCAAGATCATGTCTATTCAGGGTGTTTGTCACTATGAAGACTACGGATGAACGATATGCAGAGAAACTAAACGCTGGCATGTGGATCGGAAGCTGCCTTTGGAAAGGGTTAGAAGTCATATACGAGTACGTCTGCCAACTTCACTGTCGCTAGAGATCCAGCTAACGATTGCCAACTCATAGCGCATACCGAGTGAGTTAGCGGATACTCATATGTGTTGAAGAAAAAAAAAAAAAAAACATGGGGTTAGGTTCGTTATGGAGAGAATTCGTTAAAAAAGCGGGTATTTTATGGATACTTGTGGATATTTGCGGAGACATTCTAGGTACCTTAGGTTAGGTACATATAAAGTTCGGAATATTCCTTTGGCTGAATTCGTTATAGACAGATACCTAATATTCGTTATGGTACGGATTTCCTGTAGTTGAATGATCATTGGGCACTAGGGATGAAGCTGATGGTCTCAAACCGGCAGCGCTCAAGATCCGGATTTTACCTTAGAATCGCATTAAAATCTGTCCAAGTTATTCGCCAAATACCAGTCCCATGCAAGATGAGCTAAACATTAACCTTTGCCAAGTCTCTGTCGGGTATTTTGATCCCACCAGGTCGGGACCAATTGTGGGCGTAGTCTAGGCCTTGGTAAGGCGTCCGTCGGTATTGGGTATAGTGTATGTACATGAGTGTGATCAGGATTCGGGAACGGGACTTGACATGGTGGGACTCCGCGATGGCATTTAAGCGATAACAAACGATATTAAAAATTACCCCGTATGTATAAGTCCTTGGCTTGATTATCTAAATTGGTCCCTGCATTTCCTTTCGTCACAGCTCTTATATGATTGGTTGGCCTTTTTAACATGTCGTTTGATTGGCTACATGTCTCAACCCCGTACGTCATACTATTGATCTACTATATTGTACATCATCGTCGACGAAGGCAGAAACAGGTTTGCGTCGCGGTCATCGAGATTAGATTCATAAGTTGTCGAAGTATTCAAATAGAGCAATACCCGCCTGCGGGTTTCCATCTGTTTCATACACATTTTCACGTATTATTGATCCAAGATAAACCTACCTCTATATAGTGTAGTATCTACCTAGCTTTTTCTACTGCAAGTACCTTTTACGCTCAACCAACTTATAAACTTATAACTCGATTAAAAAATCATCGAAATGCCTCTATTTTCTAGCCGCAGGCCTGAGGAAGAAGTCGTGGAGGAACCTGTCCCCGAGAAGACCGAGAAGAGACACTCGCACAGTCTCTTTGGTTCCCGTCACCGGTCACCTTCTCCTGCCACCACGCGTAGTAGCACAACCAATAGCTCAAGGAACTCAGGTATGGCTTATTAATACGTAGTGCACTTATCAAAGCAAGACGATCTTACTAAATCATCTATTCAGACATTTCATCGGCTTCGCGCCACCGAAGCGTGCTGCAACGTACCTTCGGACATGGTAACACTACCAACCCGGACATCGACCCGTCAATCGTCCAGGCCCGCGAGCGTGTAATGCAGGCCGAGACGGCTGAGCGGGATGCCGATAGAGCTTTAGAATCAGCCCGCATCCGCGTCCGCGAAGCTAGGGCCGATGTTAAGCGACTAGAGCTGGAGGCTGTTGAGGAAGCCCGGCGGGCAAAGATCAAGCAGTACCACGCCCGCGAAGTTTCGAAGCGGGGCAAACAACTTGGCCGTATGTTTTCTATTTGATACCTTTTTATTTTTTATTTTTTATCTTTTATTTTTTACGTGTCATTGTCACTAAGTCACTAATACCAATCAGGTCATGATGTTTAAGCTACGACTTGAGCATTATAAACTCCTTGGGCAGTAAAGAAGAATATATAACGAAACATTATGTTGGAATTAAGAGCTTGGTTGTATGAAATGATACCTATTCATATCTGTATTATCACGACGTAAACGTTTCGCTGGCGCTGGATGTCTGACGAGTGTATTATATTACGAAGTACGAGCAGCCGGTTATAATTGAATATATTAATCCCCATTTCAATTTGAACTATTTACTTAATTAGTTTGATAGTGTTATTGGTGCATACCACTAAACATCTAAGTAGCTGGGATGATTTGCATACCAGTGCCAGTAAAGGAATTCTCGTAGAGCAAATAGGTATTATATATTGCCCCCTGTATGCTTAAGGTCACCATAATGTACCGATTTAAGCCTAGCGATCCCTGCTAACCTTTAATTTCAAGTATTGGGTATTGCTGTGTGTTTTATGTCTTGGATTTAACCTCTTATTCTAAGACATTCATTGTTTTAATGACGTCAACCGCCCATTATGTGACAAGATAGAGCCTCCTTCATGTTTATCACACGAACACTCAAAAGACTAGCAACATGGTGCCCGGTCTTACAATATTCATATTTTCCAAGTACTATTCATTTATTGGCTATTTCACCAACGCAGAACTATGTACCTAAGGCACCTAGGGTACCTAAGTCAACCCTTCTAAGAATAGATTTAAGAATAGAAACCAAGAGATCAATTATAGATTACTAACCTAGTAAGTGGAGATTTTTTAGAAGACGTATCGTATTTTTAAATGAAGCAATGAAGAAAAAACTCTTAGTAAAATAACAGCCATTAAGTTCAAGACTAGGTGGTAGTCAGGTAGTTAAATAAGATAATAGGTAACGATTTAGACATGATAAAATATGTTATAAAAATCACGTCACATTCAATTGACAGATGGTTGGTAGGTAGGTACCTAGGTAGGTATTGCGAAACATGAAATCGCTACTGCCGGTGCTACCGTTGCTAAGCCACATCTAGTCGTAACGGGCCACGACGCTAATGATAAGGGTGAGGTGTAGATATGCACTTACCAGGACATTTCATCGGACATCTGCATTAAATCCGCAGAGTCGGAGCTAATGCCAAGAAACCATAAATCGAAAAAGGGGGGTGGGGGGTGTAGGTACATGTAAGTAAGAGGTAGGCACCATGTAGGCTTGAAACCGGAAGAGCCAAGACATTAATCACAAGCATCTAACCTAGGAACCATTGTTTCTATCTTTTTTTTTTTTTTTTTTTCATTAAACTTTCGAAGCTCTTGAAGGTGGCCTTGAGCCGCAATTCATCCCATCCACCTACGTACATCGGCCTACACCCTACAAACAAGCTTAAAACTCTATGAGATAGCTCAACTAGCTACATGCATCCCTTTCCCCTTCAGGGTTTCTCATGATACCTCTGAACCTGGCTAATTGCTCTTTCGAAATTTGCTGCATGCCTCTCCAAACCGTATCATTCTCCAGCTGGCTCCTGTAGTCCACAACCCCCGACGCGAACGAATTTCAACGAGTCGACATGGCAAACCGCAAGGTGCTCTCCTTCAAGAGAGCTATTATCTTAGCAGCATTCTTCCTGGTGGCATTCGTCCTGTTACGAAGATCACACGCCTCAGCTGACGAGCCCGAACCCTTCAGGAAACCTCCACCGAAGCCTGTAGACTCGAGCAGCGAACATGGGGCATCGCACGACCAGTCTACTCCTTCCTATACCCCGGATGGGCAATCCGACAAGCCAGTTCCTGCGCAGAAAGCTCTACAAGATATGTCTAAGATGTCCTTATACGACAAACTAGCATACCAATACCCATACGATGTCGAGACCAAGTTCCCAGCCTATATTTGGCAGACGTGGAAATGGACGCCTGCTAGTGGAGAATTTAACTTTAGAGATCAAGAAGCTTCGTGGTCGATGCAGCACCCAGGATTTGTCCACGAAGTCATCACCGATCAAGTCGCCGTACATTTATTAAGGCTGCTCTATGCTCCTATTCCCGAAGTGCTCGAAGCGTACAATGCGCTCCCCCAACCTGTTCTAAAAGCCGACTTCTTCCGTTACCTCATCCTTCTTGCCCGTGGTGGAATTTACTCCGACATCGACACGTTCGCTATCAGGAGTGCTTTAGAATGGATCCCAGAGTCCGTGCCGAAAGAAAGCATAGGACTGGTCATCGGCATCGAGGCGGATCCCGACCGACCCGACTGGAAAGACTGGTATAGCCGGCGCATTCAATTCTGCCAGTGGACTATCCAAGCGAAGCCGGGTCACCCGGTCTTACGCGATATCGTTTCGCGCATCACCCAGGAGACATTGAAGCGGAAGCGCGAAGGCACGTTTGTGTCAAGGGAAAAAAGCGTGGTAGAGTTTACCGGTCCTGCTGTCTGGACGGACGTAATTTTCGACTACTTCAACGACCCGCGTTACTTCGATATGAGCAATAGTCAGGGCAATGTTTCGTACGTAAACTTCACAGGGATCGAAAAACCGAAGAAGGTGGGCGATGTTGTGGTACTTCCCATTACAAGCTTCTCGCCCGGCGTTCAACAGATGGGAGCAAAGGACTATGACGATCCGATGGCATTCGTCAAACATGACTTCGAAGGTAAGGGTTTCCGCTCTACTTAGCCAGGTATCCTCTGTTGACATTCTTAGGTACCTGGAAGCCTGAGAGCGAACGGCATATTGGCGAGACTAACTAGGGGCTATTGATTGCGCCTTCTATACCCTAGGCCACCTCCAGGTTATCTTTTCGTCGTCTCCTAGGAAATCTGGCTCTCTAAATAGGTCTCCTCCAGCAAGCATAGGAACACATCAGCTTCCCGGTCTGATATCACGAACCCGGCAATCGTATACAGGATTTGTAACACTATTTTGCTACTTACGAAGTTCACGACCCGTCTCATGTGATAGCGTATACCGGTTTTCTTTTTCTCTACGGGGATGTTGAAACAGTCACTCATTACTAAGTCTCTGTTCAAAATTATATGAGGGGAAGCTGTCACATTGACTCGGATGAGAAATTTGCAAGTTTTCGCCCGACTGTTTTGTACCAACAGTCTATTGTTTTATTCCCGAAGATGGTGGCTGGCCGGCGCCGGGTGCGGATTTTTCGGCGGACACATGGAATAAATAGAATACATACGGTTGTCCTTTGGCGCAACAGAGAAGAAAAAGAAATGGACATTCGGGATGTCGCTCATCGGGGAGGACCAATTGTATATATACCTGTTATGCATGGATTTGGGCGTTTGGCGGATATTTAGTCTTGCTTTTCAGCAACAACATCGACCCCGTACCCTATGGACATCAATGATCTGATGGGGTTACTTTTACAAATTGCTTCTTTTGCATATTTCTCCTACATTATGTAGTATGTAGGTAATCGTGCATACAATTCCCGACCACGGTTTCGGCAAACCCAAAAGCCAATTTCTCCCCCGCTTCTCCTCATCGTCAGCCGCTTGAAACCCCCCACTTCCCCGGCACAATGACGATGTTACTAGTTCTACAGGGACTAGCTATGGCGGGTCCCCTCGAGTATATGTTGAACACCCGCTCTAGGCGTTTTACTGCTGCGAGATATCGGGTAGACAAACGTGGGCTACGGGAGTCCACGAGGCGTTGTTGTCCATCGTGCCACCGCCTCTTCCGATTCGAGACTCGCAAGGGACATGAATAAGCGGCTTTTGTTTTTGTGGAGGGAATCGAGGAACTTGAGATTTTGCTGGTGCTCACGAATTGCTCGTCTTGTTCCCACCCCCCCAGAGTTTGAGTTGAAATACTCGAGACAATATGAAGTCATCATTTCGACCGCTAAAGTCGAATGCCTTGCGTAGTTATACGTTAAGCCGTCGGGTTTTTCGGCATGGTTCTACTCGAGGACTAGCGATATCGGGGGCTTCACGCGGTTTGACAGGAAGCCGGTTGATGCAGCGGAGATGCATTGCTACATCTGACTTGAGTTATGTGGAGGGACCTCAAGAAGTAAGTCATTTTTTATCTGGTTGGGTGGCTCGTTATAGATCTTGAACGACTTGTCCGCTACGACATGCCATGTAGAGGGTGGTATCAATCACGATGGTCTTGCTTTAGAAGTTCCTCGCTCTACTTGAGCCTCGAGGGTTATATCTACCTAGGTAACCATATGAAAGCAAAATAGTATATGCTATTTTATACACCAATAGTTTCCTAGTAGCAATTATTTCATACTGATATTCGATAGCCGCCTTTGCTCACATGCACGATACCAGAGCATTTCTCAGAGATAGTCTCGCAATATGGCGATCGGCCAGCAGCCGTATTCCGGTCTCCAACAACCGCTGACATGAATCCGACATTAACTTCAACCAAGCCGGAGACTACGACTCTAACGTATGAGAATCTTGACACCCAGTCAAATATCCTCGCGCACTCGCTGCGGTCCCTTGGCGTAAAAAAGGGGGACCGTGTCGCCGTGAGCCTAGGGAACGTCACCGAGCACGCCGTGTTAACTTATGCCATCTTTAAGTTAGGCGCCGTTTTGGTTCCGCTAAACCCGACCTTCAACGCCTACCAACTCAGCGCCGCACTGTCCCGCCTTGGCGTCGAGGTCCTCGTTATCGCAGCTATTACGGACCTCTCTTATAAGCCCTGCCGTGGCCGTAGTAACTACGACCTCTTGTCCGCCCTTGTATCTGATCTAACTAGTAGTAAAGTCGAATCATCGACTGTCCCCACGCTCAAGTCCGTGGTGCTCGTAGATAACACGCCCGCTCACCCACTCGCCGGCTTTCCACTTATACAAGACCTCAGTGCACTAACCCCCTATTCCTCACTCCTCTTATCTTCCTCCTCATCTTCTTCCCTCTCCCGTTCGATAACACCAGACGCTCCGCTCGCCCCAGCGGAAATAATTAACATCCAATTCACATCAGGCACGACATCCATGCCAAAAGCCGCGATGCTAAACCACACTAACATTCTGAACAACGGCCGGCTAATCGCAACGCGCATGGGGCTTGATTCTAGTGACCGGATAGTGTGTCCGCCGCCGCTGTTCCATTGCTTCGGTTCCGTGCTGGGGTTTATGGCAACCGCAACTACGGGAGCTTGTATCACGTTCCCGAGTCCAGCGTTCGACCCTGGAGCCTCCCTGTGTGCCGCCGCAGAGTTGCGCGCTACGGGGTTCTATGGCGTGCCTACTATGTTCGCGGCCGAGTTCGAGCTCCTCGCCAACCCAGCTTTCGCCGCGCGCTTGCCACCGGGTGGCCTTAGCAACCTACGCAAGGGCATTGCGGCAGGCAGTTCGATTCCGGAGCCGCTAATGCGCGAGATAGGAGAGAAGCTGGGACTCAGAGATCTGGTTATCTGCTACGGCATGACGGAAACCAGCCCCGTAAGTTGCATGACGGCTCCCACGGACCCGGATGATCGGCGCACGAGTACCATAGGCCGCGCAATGCCACATACGACGCTTAAGATTGTCGCGCCGGGCGACCGGTCACAGATCGTGCCGCGCGGGCAGTGCGGCGAGTTAGCTGTGTCGGGATACCTACTCATGAAAGGGTACTGGAACGACGAGGCGCGAACGGGTGAGGACCTGATTCGGGATCAGGATGGTAGGCTGTGGATGTATAGCGGTGATGAGGCGCGCATGGATCGCGACGGGTTTGTCGAAATCACGGGCCGCATAAAGGATCTGATCATCAGAGGTGGTGAAAACATACACCCGCTCGAAGTCGAAATCGCACTAGTAGAACACCCGCGCGTGCGCGAGGCCAGCGTCGTGGGGGTGCCAGATACGCGGTACGGCGAAGTCGTCGGCGCATTCGTCGCAGTGCATGCGGGTGTCAGGACACTGGAAGACGGCGAGGTGGACGAGGGTAAAGGGGAAGCGTTGTCGAAGGACGAGGTGCGGGATTGGGTCCGGAGACAGCTTTCGGGTCATCTGGTGCCGAAATATGTATTTTGGACCGACGAGCTCCCTAAGACGGCTAGTGGGAAGATACAGAAGTTCAAGCTGAGGGATGCTGCGAAGGAATTACTCGGTATAGCGACGAAATAGATATATAAGTCTGGACTTGGAAGGCTAGCATTGCATAGATTAGGTAACTATAAGCGCGTTTTAAACATCTTCTATACCAAAGACAGGCCCTCTCCTTTTTCCTTTTATGGCATATGTTATATGCACCTAACTCTTCACCAAGACATTATTTAGTATGTCGCGATATTCAAAATAAGTATATTTTTCGCGAGTTGAAATGTCAACAGGGCGTGAATAGGCGAGGAGTATCCGCAAAAGGGGTATTGCAACAAAACGCCTTTAAACGAGGGTATTCCCAAAACCTTCCCCTATGCAATGGAGTCCAAAGGACCCTTTCCCCGGCCGCCCCCGAAAATAAAAAGATGGTATCTCTGAAAATCAAGGCTTTAAGCCTCCAGACACCGTACATGCCCTCATGCGAGTCGTTGAACTTATTATATAGGCCGTAGTTCGTAACCAATTTCTCCACCCCCCTATTCCTTCCCCTATTACATCATCTAAATTTACCGGGCTGTGATGCATGAAACCTTGGTAGATGATGTATCATTGCGTCGCAGCTTGTATTCCGCGAAGTCCTTCACGATCCCGTTCTGCCACGGAATAGTGCTTGGATTGTGAGGAACCTTTGTATCACTCGAATCGGAGCTTGCCAGGTATATCTAACTTCCCAGAATCTCAAACCCATCGCCTTCCTTTAACGAGATCGACGACCATCGCAAGAATTGTCTCCCGGGGCGGCTATGGCGTCTGTGAGTTGACCGCAGTGCTCATCGTCTGAGCCACCGACGTCAGGCCGGAACCCGCCATCGTGAATAGCGCGTTGCTCTTGGGGAGCAAGTTTGAGACTACGTTGACAACGCCGCCTTCGCCACCAACATAGATGGAGGCGTATCTAAGCAACAGGATAACGTTCCGTTCCGTGTAGAAGATGGCGGCGAAAGAGATGGCAGCGAACAGGAAGCAGAAAATGGTCCAGAAGACGGCCTTCTCTACAGGCGTATAGACGTACACGCCGTAGGTGACTTCGATACGGTACTTCTTGAGACTAGCCCAGCGGATGAGAGCTTCGATTATAGAGGGAGATGGGGACATTGCAGTGTATAATAATAGCTGTAGTAGCTATAGTAATGACGATGCCAATTTCAATTATTATAACGATGCCGAAGAGTTCTAAGGATCTCGGCTATAGTCTAGGTGACCCAGGAAAATAAAATGAAACAAAGAGCATACAAATCATGAAGAGGTAATATGTAAGCATTAATATAAAGCTTTTCGATATTTAGCTTGCATTCTCTTCGGCTATAGCACATATTAATAAACTATCGCCCGGACTGGCGCCGGTGACATCAGAAGAAATAGTCACAGCTGAGTGGATACACAGAAGACTTATACCAGGTATATAATGTACATAAGATAGGCACATGCATGTGTATGTGTGTAAGCAGTAGCATCTAATTCATGAAAATGGGATGGCGAATCGCAGATATGGATAAGTGGCGACCGCCGGATCGCTCGGGCTTCACGTCTCCCGTTCTTGTCTTACCTGTTGTTGCCATATGCGGCACCTACGTAGTGTATACGGATGCCAACGGCAAAGGCGGTCGTTGGCTCGCGCCGGGGGGTTTCTGAGAGATGGATACTCGCATGCTACGTGGATTGGTAGCCTTGCGGTTTCGATATATGAGGTCGTCAGGTGGACAAGATAGTGCAAGGACTTGACCACATTCATGTAATATAGGAGGATGTATGTATGTAAGATGGAAAGAGTTGAAAACGAAATAGGCAATGGGAGAAAGCAAGGGTCTATCGGAGTTCCGCATAGCGCCTAAAACTCGATCACCGGGTCGGCACTATCGGGTTGAGGCTCTTTTGTTTTCCTCTTATTCCCATTTCGTTTCCAACCTCGCTAGCGACGGCTGGCGACTTCGCTCGCCCTTCTCCTTATTTATGTCTTATTAATGTATCTTATGATGATCCAGGGATAGATAGCAGATCACACACAGCATAGAAAGTCTGATGAATTTTGATAAGCGACGATGCCGTGATATGCTGACATATGAAGCCGATGAGCTATGTAGCATTGGGGGCCGTCATTATCCCTTTACGAGAAACCATCAAAGTCTTCTTTCCTATTGTGGCGCGTCAGTCTTCCTGTATCAGGTTAGCATTTGAAGCTCGGGTCGTTAGGTTAGGCGTTAACGGTTTAGGCCGAGAATGTCAGACGCACAGGGCTGACAGCACAAGCTTTTGATGCCAACGAGTTGAGTTTAGTCTGCCAAGAGTGCCCCGGAAGGAATTCAAACCATGTATCTTTCCAGTCGCATACTGTACAAATATATCTGCATATGCACAATATCCCAGCCGGCAGATGGCCTACCCAAAGACTCGGAAAACTCGGATAGTCGTTCAGTCACGCCCACAACCCACGAGCCAACCACCGGCGAGCCGCGCTGAGGGTCGACAGCAAGAAAAGAAGCTTCTAGTTTTTAGACCCGCCGCGCCAGGTTCTTTTCCAGTCACGAGGGTCCGATTTTAAAAGGCTGTTTGTTACATACATAGAAAAAGAACTCATCGTACAATATGTACATACGAACTTGCTTACCATCGTGCGATGCTGTCGGAGCAAACGTCGCGGTTACCGATTTCTTCCGCGCTGGGCCTCGTCCGTCTAGCCTCCGGTAAGACCGGCTTTGGGATGCACCGTATGCTCCGAGTATATCCGACGAGGGAGGATTGAGAGTAAGAAAGTTGCAATGCCCCCAGATCGTATATAGAGTTAGGAGCTGGCTTTCTCCTGATTTAGCGATCGCAACTCTTAGCAGCGAGTCTTGCAGGTCGCCTCGTGCACATGGCAACTAACTCCCAACGAAGGTTTCCCGGTATCGCAAGGTCGCATTCTAGCGGCCCATGCCGTGTAGTGCCTATGGGGTAACACCGCATACGCCGATGATGCCTTTATTGTAACCTAGGTACCTAGGTAGCTCACTACCAATCTCAACCCTGGATACGCAGCAACATGCCCAATGATACTTGTTTGTCCGGATTCGTCGGATAGGGAAACAGTTAGATCGTGAGTATAGTTGTTGGATCGGTTGGTTGTCAATGAGAGTACCTATTTTTAGATCAATGCGTCTCTTCATGACAAGCCGACAAATTGAGACTTGGAGAAGATTCAATACACGATCTTTAAGGAATGATAGAAGTAACCACCTTCAAGTAATCAGGTATAGCACGATTGCACTATGTACCATAGTTAATTGGGACTTAAGTTGATAAATACCTAGGTAACCATAGTCTTGAAAGATTTCCATAGGGTCACGAATATTTTCGAGGGACTAAAATTATGTAGAGACAAAGACCTTGTTTGAAGAGAGTGGGTATTTTCAGTGGTAAATACAGAAGCCATCATAAATGCCCACTCGAAACCTGGCTGTTTATGTGGGTTATACGAGCTACATCTCTCAACAAGACTACGCAAGATGAACTATGATATGCGAAGTGATTCGCTGATTAATTTGTATTGATGATGCAACTCGCTCCGTCCGTTCGATCCGGGTTCAAATCGTACACATAGTAGACTATTTCCGCGGTTCGGAACCCCACCTGATGGTCACTCGGCGTCGTTGTCCCGGCTTCATCGCCTTAGGCAAACACTTCCAAGAGCAGCCTCGCATCGAGAAGGGGATTGCCCTCTCATCATCTCCCAAACCTACACAATCCACGGACATGTCATTTGCTTTCTCGTCGACATCAAGGCGAGAAATTTCCCACCACTCGATCCATTCGGTTAAGTGCACTGCGACTCGCCGTCCGCACACCGAGCAAGGAAGGTCACCAGAATTAGCGTTCTGCTCGCTTCGATCAGCAAGCCGATAAAGCAACTCCATGAAATGCGGAGGCGCGTTGGATGGAAGGTAGGACGGTAATTCTCGTAGCTGCCCAGATCGCAAACAAGACAGCAGAGCAAGTTCAAGTAGCGAAGGCACACGGCTTTGATCGCAGATGGAGGCAGACTGGTTTCGCCTGAGCCGCGGGAGCTCCGGAGATAGATAGAGATCCTCGGTTTGAATGACCTGGTATGGATGCTCTAGATTCTCATATATTGGACTATCTGCGGTAGTCGATTTTAAGTTGGGTAGTTTATATGTAGAGACCACGACCCCTCGGCTATCGCTAAATTGTACTGGTGTACGTGCGAGTGCAACAACTCCCCACAAAGAACCATGTAGTCTTTTACTAGCGAGCGCCTCAGGTTGGACGGAAGGGTCACATTGCTTGTCGAGCCAGAACCGTACCCTCCTGCCATCAGTTCGCACTAGCTCATCCTGAAATAACACGGCTTGCTCGTGCCTTACTTCGTTCCAAGTATCGTCGGTGACAAAATCCGATTCAAGACTGTCTGGCTGGTAAAAGGGGTTCGGGTGTATGTTCAAGATCTCAAGTTTGCTAGGAAACCTTAACAGATCTAATAATTCCCCTGGTAAAGACCGAAGACGTGTAAGAGATATATTTAGGGTTTGAAGGTTACGAAGCTTTCCAATACTAGGCGGGAGCTCAGTAATATTGGTATTTCGTAGAGTGAGAATAGTCAAATTCTCCAGATTGAAGATGGCCCCAGGAGCACGTGAAAGAGGGTTGTTGGATAAGTAAAGAGAAATAGACGGTTCCTTAGGCTGAAATGGAAAATCTTCAGCTATAGGGGGGACAGTATCGAGCATAGAAAGCTGCGATATAGTTGCATTGGAGATACTATCGATCTGGGAGGAGCTATAGCTAATTAGTGCCTGAGCATATTATATGGCGGCCTAGAATTTCTATACCGGCTTGCGGACGAAAAAACTACTTACGATAGGTCTATAGCTGTGCTTCCAGTATCTATAGCATCCTGTATTACCTGCCGAGCGATTGTTTCACTGGGGGAAATAGCTGGGACGGGCCGAATATGCCTAAGTTGCGGTAGTTTAGATGAAGCAGGCAAGTCCATTTCCGTAATTGCATCGTCATCTGCATCCACAGAAACGTCGCTCCCCATCCAGACTCCGCTGTCAAATTGTCGCTCAAAGGTTCTTTTTGCTTTTGGCAAAGGCCGTACAACCTCGGGAAACGTCAAATCAGACGAGGCGAGGTGCTGTTGAAACCATGAGCCGACATAGCGCTTTTTCCTATGTCTTCCCTGGGTATAATTCTCCACATGAGGATCATCATCGCTGGAGAAAACAGCCGGGTCGCTTGAGTTAGCATATACTGGTGGCGCAAGCGATTGGTCGCGAGCGCGTTTTCGCGTATTAGTGAAAGTCTGGGTGTGAGAGTCCCAAGACACTGCGGGGAGCTTAGGCAGGGTAGGCTCTTCGTCGTCCATAATTGCGATGAGGTGATCAATACTGTATACTAGAGAATGAATGACCTGGATTGCAAGGCGACAATGAAATTTGGTCCTCCAAGAATAGGTGAATTTGATTCATTCAAATAAGAATTCAACTTTCAGTTGGAGTAAATATTAGCGAGATGCTTCCATGGTCAAGTACCTAACGTAAAGTAGGCGCGTCACGTCACGTCAAGTGCGTGAAGACCCACCTTCCTTAACTAGCAAGCGCGGCTCTGCGATCGCGGACCTAAAGCCCCTGTACCTGTATGTATGTATTGTACATGCAACCCGATGTCCCAAGGTTCTGGTTCAATTAAATTCGATTCGCTGGCAGCTTTCTGTTCAAAACCCCCTTCTGTCGAATCCAACTTAACATCCATCCGTTATGCATGTTTTGGCTGGGTTTATCCAGAAATAACTCGATGGATAAGATGCTTAGGATCGCTAATCTGTACTCCACTAGTCCATCTCGCCTCCATTATCAAGGGTTTAAAATGGGGATATATCGGACTGGCTACCACTTCCCAGGTCAACAACAGAGCTACTCCTGCAAATCATTTTCATCGTAAGTTGTGTATTATGTGTCTCCAAAGTCGGACACGCATTAACTCGGTTGACATTCGCAATGCGAGAGCGACATGACCGCACATACGAGGTATACTCTCAATCCCAATCATCATCGTCGTCGTCGTTAGCGGTTGCGTGTGTTAGATTTCCACTCTTGATCCCCTTTCCCATTAGTTGCTCTTCCTTTGCATCCTCTGCATCTCTCTTCCTTTTTACTACTCTCATGTCTTTCTCACCCACCGCGCCCACCTCGACTAGCAAGTTGTCGATGTCTAACATGCTTATTCGCACACCGCCCATCGTGACAAGAGTGACTATTTGCTTCACAATATCACCATTCCTATACACCAGAATGGTTGGGCAGTTGCGATCTGGATAATTTTCGATTGCCTTGTCCGCCCGTATTTCGCAGAACTTAATATCGCCGTATTCTTTCGCTGCTTGCACCCAAAGCTCTGATAAAACCCTCGATTCGATATTGGTACCAAGTGAAGATGTGAGGTTGACAAACACAGGCCCCTTGTGTGAGGCTTCTGTTACCTCGCGCGAATACTCCGGTTTTGACAGCGGATAGACTGTGCCGTGTATTGACTTCTTAGTCAAACTATTTAACTCTTGCATTCGCTTCTGTCGGTACTGCTCTAGAAAAGCATCGTCTTCTTCATCTTCCAGCGCGTCAAGCTCATCGAGCTCTTTCCCCTCTAACCTATTCTCATGCGCTATTCGGTGGGCCTCGAATAAAGCTTCTTCTATCATAGGTGTGGGGGAGGGAGGCTTTTCGGGTATGATGCCGTGTTTACGGAGTATATCATTCCTATCGCAGTTTATGAGATGGGAACTTAGGTTCTGGGGGGTTTGTTCTGAATAGGACATACCATTCAGTATCCGCATTTGGGTCGTCAATAGGAACAGCTATTCGCTGTTCTGTTGGAGCGGCCATCTTGATTGAATTTATATAGTCGTGGATGATGCGAGGGTAGAGTGAAGGAAAGCCACAGAAAGCCACAGAAAGCCTATAATTTAGGTACATACAGTAAAGGACGATGAGGATATCTTCGGGTTATATTAATATGGAAACTAAAATTTAAAGGATGCCTGATGTTGCGTTACGTACCTAGGTACCTAAGGTAGCCAACATGACCTAAGCAATAACCCCTCCAAGTGGAGGCCTTGCTACATAGATGACGAAATAGCCCAACCTCAGCTGGCAGCTGGCTGAAAGCTCTGCCAGGTGTTTCACTCGGTAGTCTCGGGTTTCGGATCAGTGTTTCCAGCTCGGCAGGCTCCCAGCAATAAAAGTGGATTGTTAAAAAGCCCTAGCCCTCCTCAGCACTAAGCCTGATTCAGCTAAACTAGAATGGTCTTAGTTAGTTTCGCCTCCTGCCCACCAGAACCAGTCCGCCGAATCGAAATCCAGCTCTCCAAAATTTACCAAGCGAATTTTTATTCTAGGACACACACGACCTTCCCCTCAATCTCTTAACTACCTCAACCATCGTTGTTCGCAAGCACAGCCAAAATCTGCCATCAACTCCATCTTCAGATTTCGCCAGCCGATATTTCGCTTGCCGACCCAACAACCAAGATACTTCTTGTAATAGTCAGACAAGATGGTAAGTCTAAATGAATCTTGCTTTTGTTTACGTTCTCCATCATGTTGTCGACCGATCTCCGCGATTTTCGATCTATCAATCATCGACGCTTCTACGACAATGTCAACACCAACATCGGCAAAGGTGTTGACTTACATCTAAACACGATGTTTACAATGAGTGTTACAATTGATGAGATGCTCGAGACGGTCTAAACACAACTTTGATGTGCGGGTGGATGTTTGGTTTGCACTCGCAAATGGTACTGATGCTAACAAATTTTTTTTCAAGGTTCTCGCCGTTGATCTTCTCAACCCTAGCCCGGCTGCTGAGGCCAAGAAGCACAAGTTAAAGGTATGATACCAATGTAAATTTCAATATCATACAACACTAATATCATTGAATAGACCTTGGTGCCCAGCCCCCGATCCTTCTTCATGGACGTCAAGTGCCCCGGCTGCTTCACAATCACCACCGTGTTCTCCCACGCCCAGACCGTCGTTATCTGCCAAGGCTGCACTACTGTCCTTTGCCAACCTACTGGTGGTAAGGCTCGATTGACTGAGGGCTGCTCTTTCCGAAGAAAGTAGACGGTTTCGTCTCGCGTTTTCTTCGTTCTTGGGCATGGGTTACGACTTCATGGGTATAGTTCGGATATCTGCAAGGTACTCGACGGAATGGGCGCATGAAAAAAAAAACTTGGCATATTGTCTGCCGGACATATTCGACTTCTACGAACCTCTACGTCTTTGCAGATAGACGACGGATACCAAGAACCTTAATACAAAAGGGGCGTTTGGGGTCCTGATATCTTGCATCATCCGTTTCGCTACGAATGATTTTTCCTCGTTTTCTCGCCTTGTGTATTACGAAGTCGTCACCTTCAGACATAAGCAGGATGGTTAATTCTGCATGGGTGGATAGCTGGAAATGGCTTTCCACATGAGCATCTCCTGAGGCCTATTTCTGCCAGCGTAGGTCTCTAGATGTGAGGACGTGGAACGTTGATTGAGGATCGCTACACACCCAGCCGTAGTGATTGTTTTCACTGCATTAGGCGAATTCACATGGTTCCACTAACGTTTTTGACTTTTTGCCCACCGTGACGACCGATGTCCATTGCTTCTCTAGGTCTTCCATGACTGAAATTTTACAATGTAGATCTCAACTACACGAACCGATCGCGTTTGAAGTGAAGTCGTATCCTCTACACTTATAGTAGGAATTTTAATAGGACAAATTATACTACCGTAAGAGGAGTAACTACCCAATTTGCAGTGTTCTATAGGGATCGCTAGGCATGTAGAATACGTAGGTACTTGGATTCATTATCCATCCAGTGAATTATGATCATTCAATGACTTATGATAGTATGAATTATGCCGTCAGATAGATTAGGATATTGTAGTACGTGTTACACTCATGCTATGCTATCAGTCATTTTGTCCGGATTAAGGCCAAACCAGGCCAGGGACGAGATGCTACTATTTCTCCGGCCATATAATACTCAATGAAGCTATGAATATCGTAGAATTGGATATTAACGCCTCAAATTAGTAAGCGCGGTAGAACTGGAACCGTTCATGAAGATCTACCTAACTTCTAACCTACATGTATGGATTACCTAATGTATGTATGTAGGTACATAGGTACTTGGGTACTTAAACGTAAGCCTAATGCCATGGAAGGCTTCCATTAGTGTAAACGCGTCAAAACACGCTTCGGAAAGTGCCAATTACGCGCATCGTGCAGCCCCCCCCCCCCCCCCCCACTTCCAACTTTAGCTATGTATCGTCTGATCAACCCCAGATTATCCAACCTCTTTTATAATTTCCCTTTTTTCCATCTTCGTAATACAGAAGACGAAACCATCGATATCCAACAAAACATGCTTCCTTAATTTCACTGCCAATACCATAGGTAACTCTAGACTTGGAACCTTCACTTCTAAATATTCAATTCCCCCTTGCCCTTTCTTGGCTACAGCTATTGGAGCTTGGAAAGCTCACATTGCGTCATCACGATAATTTGAACCGCGAGAACCAGATCCCCGGAATTCCTTGTTATCAGATCTGAGGCGTCCTATATTTGGTCCAAGTGGGCCTTATTCGCATACAACACATAATACCTATCCACTCATCCCTCACAGCCATGTCGGCCCCGCGAACAAAGCGTCAATTCGCAGGCGCAGCAAGTGATCCCGCCCAACGACAGATTACCTCGTTCTTCGCCTCGCAACATCCCGATACTTCCTCCGCTAATTATACTAACGCGCGGGCGCACAATACCTCTGATCCTGCTAGCCCCTCTCTTCCTGCGACGGTGCAAGCGAACCTCCTCTCGGTGGGCATGCGAGTGCGCAAGTCGGTCCCCGAAGGCTACAAGACAGGAAGTTACAGTGCTTTTACGCTCTGGGACGAGAACAACAGCGTTTCTACGGCGACGATGGGCGAGGGACGATCGCGCGCTAATGCCATTTCGACACCGCGTGAGCTCCTTCCCTTCTGTGGGATCAATAAAGTCGGCGGTCTAGGAACACAACCGGAGAACACCCAATCATTTTCTCCTGCCGCAGCCTACCAGCCGTTACTCAGCCTCAACGGTGTACCTCTCGAGGAGATGATGGACGAGGATGTTCCCGGCCTGACAAGCAGTCAGGACTCCATCGAGAGTACCGGATCAAGAATCTCTTCTACGCGAACTCGCAAGCGTTCTTATACCGAGGACGAAGACGAGGCGCCCCAGACCCCGGGTCGTCTCAATATCGATTTCAACCCATGTGTCTGGGGCGATAGGTTTGATGGCGAGATCAGCCCACGGAGCGTGGTGCCCATCGGCTGGGGTGCGAGTAACGGCCGCGTCATGGCAACGCCACGGAAGACCAAGTTTCGGGGAAGCAAGCTATCAGCGCACGCCCTAGGTCAAGACAACGTCAGGGTGGTAGGAAGTGCCGACGGCACCGACTTCGAAGAGGCGGATTTCCTAGTTGGGACATCCGACCTGGGATACAGAGGTGGTTCACGAGGTTGGGAGGTCGAGATGAGCGATGTTTAAGTGTGAATGATACGAATCGTCTTTACCGCGCATTTGATAACAATAAGATACCCAGAAGAAGAACAGAGCAAGGCACGAGAAGGAACGCAGGAAATGAGATGATGAAGACGGTCAAGTTGGAGCTGTTGTATTATTTCGGATTGTTATTGGCGGGCCGGCGTTTTTAGCGAAGACTGCATTGGTTAATGGATTACCTGGTATTGAGGAATTTTGCTCGCGTCATACGCGAGTTGTGTTATGCTGCGTCACATTGCATACAATTATGTATCATATTGAGGACGATACCTAGAGGAAAGGGGTGGAATACACACGGGGAAACCAGTGCGTCATAGTCGAAGGTGCATTAGCCTATCTCCATAGGAGAGAATAAGGTAGTTTGTAGCATCACATGAAGAATTGTTACAACGTCGACAGACTCTATACTCATAACTAGTACATATGCACAGTATATTAAGAATTACTAAGCTTGTATTTATTATCTAGTTAAGAGGTAACTATAACTACCCTATACCTTCAACTACAAAACATACGAGCGAATAGAGCAGTCTGATCATATATCTACGTGCAAGGCACCACACGTGTTTTCACCTACTCGACCTGAATCCCTCCAAACGGATCCCGGAACTCCAAAAGGTCGCGCTGTCCGTAGAACTCACCGGCTACAGTAAGGATCATATTTAGGGTAGCGCGCTCGTTGGCCTTGGCTCTGCGAAACTGCTCTGTCTTCGCTTCCTCCTCTTCTGCCGCGAGGGCAAGAAAGGCCTCCTCTTCTAGCGTTGTAACAGGCAATTCTTCCGCCGGGGTATCACCGTTCTCGGCCGCGGTGCTGTTAAGCTGTTCGAGCAATCGGGCCTTGGCCCTCTCTATGTCAGCCGTGGGGTCTGTTTGCTGCTGGGGTGCGTCGGATACTTCCCCGTCCTCCTCCTCTTGTGAATCTATCTCCATCTCGACGTCTGATAGCTCCGTTTTTATTTTTTCAGACGGTACCTCGGTTCCGACAGGTTCTTTTGCATTGGGAGCATTCGTATCCGTATCAGATTCAATTTTGATTGTGCCGTTGAAAGGCGCAAGTTTGGGCACCCTACCACCCGGGGGCTGGCCGGGACCACGATGGTGAGGTTCGGGATCGTTGACATCGGTGTCGATATCCTCGTAGTCACAGCATTCACCTTGGCTCGTCTCATCGATGCCTTCGTCGACATCAACTTCGCCTTGGCTTTCGGCGTTACTGTCACCGACATCGTAGTGTTCCTTTAGGACTTCCATCTCAGCCAAACTAACCATAAGCAGGACTGCCCTCTTGCCCAACTCGCGTATCCAGCCAATCTCTTGGTAGTCGAGTTCGCCTCTCTCGGGAAGACGTGCGAGTAGCGCCCATATCCACCTGCTTGTTCGTTCACGGAGCTCCTGGTTCTTACGTAAGAACTTGCCACCAAGGATAATGCGCAGCAGGCGGACAACGCCGTCTTTATGCATCCCGGCGATCTGGGCAGGCAATGGGTCCGTACCCCGGAGCCGGCCAGACCACTTCGCAAATGTATCGGATTTAGGTCCGAACTCGCCCACTTCGGTTGGGTTCGACCTGGGGAGAGAATATAACAAATGATTCGGCGGCTCTGCTTGTAAGACCTCGCGCAGAGCTAGGAACTGGTTTGTGAGAGATAGAAAATACGCCTCGTAGATCTCGTCGGAATTGCTGTTGCGCGGGCCGCCTTCGCTTGATTCATAATCGCTCGCATCGTCATATCCTAGCTCTGGGTCCTCTTTCTCTCCTCCCTCCTCACCATCATAATCCTCGTCATAATATTCATCCTCATCTCCGTCTTCATCTTCGTCCTCATCCTCATCTTTGTCAAAGTAGCCCGGTGGGTACGCGGTATAGGCCCCATCATGATAGAATCCTCTAAAATCGCCTCGGCCGTCTTTATATATGCTGCGGTCAATGGGTTCCTCATTTTCGTCTTGTTGGTCTTCTTGATCGTCTGTGGACTGTTGTAAAGCCTTGGGTGGTTGCGGACCAGCCTTACTGGCGACCATCACATGTGGGATTGCGGATGCTTGCACTCTATACTCACCATATCAGTATTGATCACCTAAAGAAAGCCAAGATTCCGGTTTAGCTTTGAGAGTCTGGAGATGGATGTAGTAGAGATAATCTTACCGCACAGACTTAAGGTACGCCAGCGCCTCAGCATCATCTTCGCAGTCCAAGTCGCTATCCTCGGGAGGTACAGTTGTCAAGCACTCGGAGTCACCAAACACTGATCGCTGGCCGTAAGTTGAACTCAGAAGAACGGTTGATCGTACAGAGTTGGAAAATCGTTTACGGCGAAGTTTTCTAGGCAGCTCCTCGCTGTCATTTTCAGCAGTGCGCTTCGATCCCATGACGGCCACCAGCTTGATTCAGAATGAACGCGTACAGGTTGGGTTGGGTTGGATTGTTTGAAGATGAATTATATGTGATGAGAATTGGAAGAAGTCTGACGGATGGGAATGAAAATGGAAATGGAAATGGAAATGGGAATGTTTAAAGTCGAACAAATAATTGCATACGGAATACTTTTAAGGTTAAATGGATGGGTTAGGTGGTACCTTAGGTATCTAGTAGCTCAATAGCGCCCCGCTATTTGTGCCCACTATTTAAGCTTCAGCGCAGAAAACCGTAAATTGTCTGATTTGATAACATCAGGTTAGTGTGGTATAAATCTAATTCATTCATAAAAGTCAAGGGCACGTTTAAATACTAGCGTTTTGACAATGCTTAATGCTTTAAAAGAAGCTTTTAGCATTATAATAAGAGGGATGTCTGATATACGTAAGCGATTAGTCCATTTTATTCTTCATGGCTACCATTTGGCCTTCCCCTATGTTTATTAAAGGCATTCTATTATAACACGAGATTGAGATATTGATATATACTTGAAACCAAGTGCCGAAGATTAGAGTCAAGGTTGGTATTAAGCTGTATGTTGGTCTTAGGAAAGTGTCATTCCAAAAGTACCTACCTCCATGGGTCGTTAGTTAAGGCATAGGCAAAGTTGGTGGAAGAAATAATGCCTGCTTTTACAGCTCATACATAGCCATTGGCATGTTATGTTGGTAGCATACTACGTATACGGCTTATAACCTAATACTATATTCTAAATTGACTTGGGGACGTCGGGAGGTTTAGCCTTTAGCATATGATATTAGTATGAGCAAATCTGGATACGTATCGGTCAATCCTATACCATCTGGTTGGCGAGGCTATGAGATTACTAGGAATACTTTCCCTCCTGTAAAACTTCATAGCAGGGATCAACTGGCCCCCAACATAACCTAGTTGCAGTACATTAAGCCTTCGATATCCATAGAGGCTATAGTTCCACTTGCCTAGAATATCAGTATGCTATATACATACTCTTATCTCCCATGCATTCACTAGTTCTAATTAACGGCTTCACATCACATTCAAGTCGTAGCTAGCCACTACCTTACCTTGTGATGTAAGGGTTATCACACCATGCTTCTAAGTGGTGTCAAGAGCCTATCTTTCCAACGAGGAATTCAAAATAATACCACTCTAACTCACAATATTTGAATCCGACAATTGCCGAGCTAGTTTTCGTGGCCCCCAGTGTCGCCCTCATGAGTACCAGCATATACTACATTGACTATGGAGGCTTCAGCTTCCAACGCTAGTCCATAAATAGCTTGTACATAGAGTCTGTAGAGTAGTCTCGAAACCTCTTACTTCGCCTCATGTTTGAGTCTCTCAATTTTCTAGGGTTTTGTAAGTGAGTTCTAATTAAAGGTGATGAACATGTTTATAGTCGGCTCGTCCAGTACTCTACTGCTCAGCTAGATCGCTACCTAGGTATAGATAAAGTGATAGATTCTTAATAAGTTCTCAGTAAAACCTAGCCAGGGGTAAACACGTCATTCGAATTAGCAATGCTAGTATTTATAGACTTTATAGTTGGGAGCTAGGTAGGCGAGAAGATACTAAACGCAAGCTTTCCGTTTCTTTCGGCTTCGGACAGAAGCAGTCTTACTGCGGAAGCAGAAAAGGGTCGCCAAGGGTTACTTTGTAGGTATATATTGCATTTGTATTCCGATAATTGCTAAGATTACCTGTCGAGGGGTTCATTTTGCCTATTAGAATGCGAGCCGCGGGGAAGTATTGAAACCGCTCTGTTATGAGCTTAATTCGACTTCGCTGGCTTTCTAATTTTCAAGTTCTAAAAGTTCTAGGGTTTACAGCGTAATGCAAATCATGATCGACTTAAACCTTGTTGTAATATGTTCTCTCTATACTCGTCCAATGCATACTTAATTCAAAGGCATAGTTCCTTGGTTAATTCAAAATTCATCTCTCTATTCGGCACATTTCGGTATTCAGTACCTATCTAGACCTTTAGGCGATTCTGTAGTTGGGCATATGGGGACCCCTTAAAGTCCTACTGTCTTGTATGGCGTGACTTAGGTACGTAATTTTATAATTAATGAAAGTTTTAGAATTCCTTTAGAAGGAATACTATTTGAGAGATAACCGGTGTTACCGTCGACTCTTATTCCAATACGATGGGATTCTATTAAGAATCTGAAGCTGGGCTTATTGATCATCTCGCTTCGATTGGTTACGTTTCAAGTACTCCGCCACCATCATGGCTATGCGCGTAAAATAAGGCAACCTGGTGGTGTGTGTTAGAAATTGTGGCTTGCGTCAGGCCCTGAATTTTCTTACTACATTTTGGAAGAATGGAGTTTGCCTTCTCGGGGATAGCAGCCCTTTTCGAAGTTAAACGCATCAGGTAAACTCTCGTGCGGTAGCTGCTCGGGAACAATTATGATATGTATCGCCAGTAATTTCCGCGCGTAGGGAGGGTGTATTTGATCGCAAAGTGTTTCATGTGGATTTGGTTGGATATAAAATGCTACACGCCCGTGTCATCTAGGCTACTGAGCTTATAAATTACTCATGTCGGGTAACTGTAAGCCGTTCACTATATCCTGAGTCATTGGAACGGAATTATTGGGCATGTTTCAGCTATTGGTCCGGGGACGAGCGTATTATGACTGCCTAGAGAGTATCGCCAACACAGCAGTGCTAATGGTAGCGATAGCCAGTCTCCTCTATACCTCTGGTTTATATTGGCGGTGGCGGCTATGAGCTCCCTAAGAAAAATTTCTGTAGTGGAAATTTCGATTACTAGACTCCTTATCTAAAAGTACATCCTTTCTATTCAAACAAACTGTATCCCGCACAGCAATTTTCGACTCCTCAGTCTAGTTATACGGCACTGTTTGGCACTTTTTGGCCCTGTAACATAAACATGGCAACTTATCCACCATAAAAAGAACTCTAGGCTTGTGTTGTTTAACTTGTTTCCCTGGCCCTTACAGATAGGACATTTCATCTACTGCGTGGAAGCTCGTGCTTCCTTATATTGGGCTCATTCCCCTCTAACAAAGGGGTATCTGTTCATGGGACTGCCTTGTCCAGACGACATGTTGTACCCATAAGCCCATGGCTTCTCGCCATTCATAAAAACTCCAATGACATTTCTCTGAAATTCATTTTCTTCGAAGCCTTTCATGTTCTCATGCCGTCTCGTTTCATCATCATCTTGCGTGGCCTGACTGGCCGAGTCCCTTTTAAGAGTTAGTTAATATCATCACCGATATGTCGTCAAACTTACGAAGCGGTAGAACCTTGGTTGTTCTGTATAGACCAACGTCGCGCATACGGGGGATCACCGGAGTCATTAAACTCCGGCTGGGTTCCTTCGTAATGAGTGTATGGGCCTTGGAACTGACTGGATACGTTATCCGTCCATGTGGTATCGCCGTGGTTGCCCACTATGTCTAACGCCAGCGGCGAATATGTCACGAGTGTCCTATACCTGTCTAGTGTTGAACTGTAGCTCTGGGTATGGGGATTTAACTGGCCGTACGGATCCGCGTTACTAGAAATGGAGGTCGAGTCCATATAAGCGCTCGTTAAGGGAAGGCCCGGCTGATACGATCGATACCAGACGTCGCTGACGCCAGTGGTGGTGTTGGCGTTGCCTTCTTTGTGGGTGGTAGCAGGGATCGATGAAGAGAGGACCGCATGGGTATCAGTAGAAGGATATGGAGTAAGGCTCCCATTTTCGGCTCGAGTTGAAAATTCGACGCTGGTTGCGGTTAACTGACCCCCAGCTACATCGACGCTAACCTTAGCCTTCGAAGAGCTGACATTGCTAGAAGACCCGCGCCAACAGTTAGGACCAATGGTATAGCCTGAAAAGTCCTCGGAATCATTATCTAAGGTCTTATAGGCATTGCTGGACGCTTGAGGGACCCGCGAGTGTAGATGGCGGGGGTGAGCACTCTTATGAGGCTTGCTGGACGTTGACCGGCTATGGTTCCTAAGACCTTTCATTCGACGGTCCGCCATATCTGATTCGTCTTTGGTGAAGTTGGGGTATTGATGATCGATATGGAGCTTTACGTTGAAAGAAAATGCTGGCGTGGACTTCATGAGCTTTTTATGGGAAAATAAGGCTTAGGACTCGGAGGATCTCGGGCGCTTCCACCTTTTGTCTATAAAAAGGGATGCCTTGTTCGGAGACCAAAAGCTTCACCTAATCACTTCCGGTTGCCCTTAAGTAAACTGTGTGGAGTGGGTCGCGGACGAGGCAGGATAGAAGGGGCAGATATACCCACGATGAAAAAGGATACCGAGCCATGGGCTACTGTTGGAAAGGCCACGGGAATTAACCAGTGAAACCCTCCTTTTCACAGGAGTTGGACGTACGATCATGCACCTCCCATGGGCACGCCGCTATTGGGATGGGCACGCCGCTGTTGGGTTGTCATCGATTACCAAGGTATCAGGGTCGTTGGTAAAGAAACACATTCTGCCTAACACCAGGCAACCATTGATCTACGGGCAGAAAATATGGTGAGGCGGGACGTTAGTGGGTGTCAAGTAGCCGGGAATCTTAAGGCAATCAATCTATCGGACTCCTTGTTGGCGGGCTGGGAGCCTTCGATTCAGCTGAACAAGTGAAGAAGCACAACATTCTATTCTATTAAAACGCTTCTCTTAACATGCGGGCGTGAGGGATATAGGCCTTTTAAACTTCACTTAGATCTGCAGCATACGAGGGTGATATGGGCTTCGATAACCCTAGAACTCATGTGGTTGCAGTTTGGTTTAGGCGACCTAGCGGCTTGTAGAAGCGACACTATGTGAAAGTACGCTATTCCCTCATCATACGAACCTCAAATACCGGCGGGGAAGTTAGCTGCATAACGTCTGATACTAAGGCTTTACCTTAAGGGGTAGCTCACGTTATTCGTTGGGGGCGTATCATCGGGTGGCTTACAGAGTTGTATATCAACAGGCGTATCCAGCGTGCGACGGAAAGTAGGCATATAATTGGGCCGTGGAGCGAAACCAAAACCAGCTCGTCCCATATCCTCTGCGGGATTCATCATTATATCTATGCGGTTTGAAGATCATCTTCAGCTTTTACTTACCTTAAGTACCTACCTACTCAAACCTCACCTCCCACATCTTTACCGAAGAAGACTGTTACAAGACATCTTAATATGAGCAGATATGGTTACCTCATGCATAACATGCAGCCTATTATCTTATTGAGGCGAGGAATTTGAGTCCGTATTGGAGATCTTACAGAGCAACCCTTGGTTCTTAGCTTGGGGGACGAATAGGGGGGAAGCTTAGAACATGGATGGATGGTCGCACAACACCCTTAAACACTAAAGACATATTGTAACCAGATACATTAGGCGTTCTATCAGGCGCGGGGGTTACATAACAGGATGGTATACCGCAATCCAGCCGGCCAATCACTTCAACATACCTGGGCGTTCTTAGTGCTCCTGCGGTGCTCTAAAGTACCTAATGTAGTGACGTTTTCGAGCAAAAACAGCCGCGATAAGCTGTTGTTCGTTTCCAAACTAAAAATCATATCTGTTATTAATATGTCCAGGGTTCAGGGGAGCTGATGACTGCAGTTCCAAGCTTATTTTTAACTTGGCATTGACCGTATGTCAGTGATCGATGGCACAGACAATATGAGAATTTGATACGATTTACGGTCACCCCCTACATCTTCTGTAGCAAGAATCGTCCCGCTTCGTCGTTTTACCGACTATTTCTAGTCTGATTCACAGCTTCCAGTACCTCATCATGCCTTGTCGTACTAGGTTCGATCGACTACAGCCCGCTATCCATGGTCGGCTGCGAACCTGGCTCTTACGTACAGAATCGCGACGTAGAAACCGACGAAATTTCGAGGTCTCGATACGACACATTTATCGAATGGTGCAAAGTTTTGAACAGCGAGCTAACCGGTCAAGAGCAACCGTCTTTACGATATGTCGAAAAAATGTGGCGTTTAATGAATCGTCGATTCTTTATTACTGCCGACGGGATAATGGGAATGGATTCGTATGGAACCCAGACTAGGGACCACATCCGCGCTCTCTCGGGAACTGCAGTAGCGTTCATACCCAGACTAGAGTGGCAGCGTTGGAAGCATATTGGAAATGTATATTGCCCGAAGCTCATGAAGGCAAGTTCCTTTTCCCTAAAAATAGAACTTCCGAACTAATGAGTTCACAGAAGACAAGCAGTGACATTCTCAATAGATGGCGTATATAAAACCGGAATTCTGATGTGACTTCAACCTTAAACCTGCATTTTGAGCTGGGCACTTCGTGTTGTATTCGTCCCCGCTCCTTTACTATACTTCCGATTCCTAAAACGTACTAGAATCGTTCGCTTCCGCCTTCTGCTGTTTCCAGCGATACCCCTTTTCGATGCCAAGTTTCTTCTGAGCCGTATTGCACAGCTGCTCGTTCCCGCAGTCACACTCTCCGCCCTCTCTCAGCCATCGATACGTGATGCTCCACCGGTCCTCGCGTTTCCTCACTGTGCCGTCTGGTAGCGTGTCCGTCTTTCGCTTTCTGATTCCGTGCGTCCAGTGCAGTCTGGAATCTCCCGACATCTGCATCATACTACGCGGCGTCAGGTCGACGTCAACTCGCTGCTCGCCCTTCTGGAACTGCATCGTGACGGGCGAGCCGAGAGATAAAGCGTAAAGCTGGTCATATGCAGAGTGTGTGTCTACATGGGGTGGAATCCCAGATCCAGGCGGATAATATTGTAAGCATACTTGCTCCGGAGGTCGTCCCTCTCTAGTAGGAATGAGTGGCTGGAGCCAATCTGGAAATGGCTTGAAGGGAATGTCAGGGTCCACATCAAAGGTCTTGTAGTCGAACGTGTAGCCGAAGTGAAGTGATGTTCTGCCTGTGCGGTCTGGCCATTCCAGTCTGTTGCGAAACATGTTGATGAGTTCCCGCTCATGCTCTGGTGTGATGAAGTTTTCTTGCCAGAAGATGCCCGAGGGCTCAATCGGAAGTTCCAGCATCTTACTTAAAGCTGAATCATGATATTCTTAGTTTTTAAGTGCGGTATTCTCAACTCTATTCGTGAGGCATGTTGATCGAAATATCCCGGTGATTTCTGTGCGTTTTTACAGCTGGTGTTTTTGTGTGTAGATCGTGCGATCGAGACAACCAGGTAAATTGCCGAAGGAGTGAGATTTTTCCAAATACCAGACCCAGTAAAGCAGCTTTACACGTTGTCAAGACATGGTAAACCGCTGGAGAGAGATCTGCGGAAGCAGCAAGAGCAAGCCCCTGAGGATTCTAGTTTCTGACCGAGTTCTCAAGAGAAAGAAAGATTGCTGCTAGCTTTGTGAAATATAAAATTCTAGTCTCAGTTCGGGGCGTAGTCCGTGTGGCCCTCGTGGCCCGTGCGCAGCACCAGATTGTGCAAATCCGCATTTCATCTCGCCGGGGTTGCTCCAAGGAACATCAGGTCGGGTACGGAAACCAAGTGCTTGGCGACCGGTCCGGTCGAACATTCCGGGTGAGGCTCTGACCAGAGCTTACAGAGTACGATATTAATTTCCTCTGTAATGCTGCAGGATCACCACTAATTCCTTCGCGCTTAGAAGGGTGATAACTACATGATCAGTTGATCGAATTGCATGAAGCCGGAAGTAAGACACGGCTTTTGCTGATTATTATGCTGATTATTAACCCTGTAACCAAGCTAGGGCAAACCAGGGAGGTTGATGGGCTGTGACGCGAGCCCGCGTCAGGCTCAGGTAGGTGGTTTAGTTGAGAGCATCCGGATGTGGCTTAAGGTAGTCCAATCTCATCCGCATGACACGAAGCATGTTACTTGATAAAGACAATTTAGGTAACTTCAAGTCATTTACCCGTCGTCACACAGCATCAGGGTTAAATGATAGGAGAATAAAATCCCACCATGCATTTATCTTATCCTATCCTTGTGTGTTTTCTTATTGTAACTCGTCGTTATAGTCGCCGTCTTTTATGTATTAATCCTTTCGGAACTTTATACAATCAACCGGTAGTCTCACCTCCAATGTAATATGTTTTACACCTCAGGATTAAGTCTATTTGGTTCTCTCGGTATTAATTATATATGAGACGTGCCTTGAATATAGTCTTATAGTATTTAATTAACATGAATCTCTTGTTCTCTTTTGTTATCAGTACAACACTTTTACGAGCACCAATGTCTTGAGATAGGCGAAGAGAGGTTCGAATAGGATTCCAAGCCAAATCAGTTTATTCTCCACATGATTTCTGTATCAAAAGGTCTTCGGATCACTTGAGTAACCTCATCCGATCTACTTACCATATCTAGGTAGGTAGCTACATGCAAATAAAGACGTGTCGAGTGGGGTTCTTGTATTGCATCAACTCTCTTTTCATATCTAAGTTTCTATATACCTCGTTCAATCAAGCCTAATTCACGTAGATCGCATCGTCCTGCCAGGATTGCCCACGAACTTAAGGAAGGGGTTAATCAACGTGGCCGGGTTTTCAACCTGCTAAGCCAGGCTCCGAAGGAAAAGGTTCCCCGGTTGGGTGGCGTCAAGCCACTTCTGCATTGGGGTTTCAGTCACTGGTACGGTGGGTTGTTGTGTATCTTATCAAGCTCGCCCACGGCATTTCTATCTTGAAAAGCGTGTACTTCAAAAGATACACTTGGGGTAGCTATATGTTCAAACTTCGTCATCCGGCTTGAATTTATTGCTATCCATCTATTACCTAGGTACATCTCAGAAACGAGGAGTTCGATTGAACAGCAATTGGCACCGGGGAAAACATCCGAATGGCCCCTGAATGGGACCTATGCAGGAGAGGAAGCATCACGACATTACAGTTGCCATTCCGGGGAGCGTTTATCTTCTCGGTGAGCTGCATGCAGTATGAAGACTTAGACAATGATGTGTTATCAACGACTAGAGATTGGAACTATAGATCTTGTGTGTAACCCCAGAGCTGATGACATGTTAGTAAAATAATGCCTGTCACTCAAATCTAGTTCATGCATGATCACATGAAAGAGGATTCCCCGGATCGCCATTAATATTACTCTCGCAGAATCATTCCACGCTATTCTTT